TTGAATGTTGCAAGTTGTTAAATACACATTCCAAAGGTTTGAGTGTATATATGCAATACAAAGAGTGTGTATCTTGTCTACTATTTTAAAAATACATTTGCAGTCCCACATTTAGGTAATGGAAAATGAGTACCTTAGGAGGAGCCCTAAAGTGTTCATGAATTCCTAGTCCCATGAGATCCAACCTCCTGTAAAAATCCTAAAATCCATCAGGGCAAGGATATTCAAACAACAACCCCTCCCCCTGAGATCCCTCCACTAAATAATGGAATTTGTAACAAGTTCAGTCTTAGTCACTGGGGGACAGAGCATTTTGTCGCTAGGTCACGGATTCCAGTCTGGCCTCAGTTATAATGCTAAAGTTTTATTGCCATCTAAAAACCTTGGCCTATGTACAATTGGTGGTTGGTCTGAGTGGCCGGGATTTCTAATAGGCAGGTTATCAGCACTCTTGTGGGCTGTAAGTAGAAAGACCAAAGCTTAAATTGGCTATGCGACAGAACTACCATCCTTACCCAACTGGGATGGTTCCTCTCAGCTCAGGGCTCATAGGCAGTGGAGAGAACTCATATAGTTGCCTGTCATCTACATGTTCTGTTGATGAATAAGACTTTAGTCTCCAGGGCTTCCAATCAAGCACTATTCACAGTCGCTTAAATAGTTTTGGAAAATGAGGGACAAGAAAGAAGACAAGATAAAGAATAGGAAGTAGAGGAAAGAGATTTTGTGATCCTGCTAATTAAGTAAAAAACCAAAGATACTGTTGTTACCACCATAGCTTGCTACAGCTTGAATTCGAAGGCCTTGTCTACACTACAAAGTTTTGTCGGTAAAAGCTGCCTTTTGCTGACAAAACAGGGGAGGTGTACACACTACAGAGCTACTTTTGGCAGCAAAACGAAACCACATTGACAAGAGGCATAGGGCTTTCTGTGGCAAAGTTAAAGTGACAAAGCATCAGTGTAGACACTGCTGTTTGTTTTGTTGACATAACTGGCTTCCACCAGAATCCTACAATGCTTGCCAGGACTGCTTTGCTCACTGTTTTGAACTCTGCTGCCCTGCAGGCATGCCCCTCTCCTCCCTTCCTCCCCCCCATTTCAAAGCTCCGGGAAGTATCTGACAGCTGAGCGTGCTGCTCTGTTTGGGGAACAAAGAGCAAATCATTGGAATGCTCCTGTTCTGTTCTCAGCACTAGGAACACAGGGGCATGCAGACTGCTGCTGGGGGTGGGGAGGGAGGGACTGTTGTGCTGCTTTGACATTCCTCAGTACAGAGAGCTCATGGAGCTGGTTGCTGCTCCTGGCAGCTGAGGAGGCTGTGGGAGAACTCGGCGGGAATCATAGAACCGCAGGCAGAGTGGGCTGCTTTGGGAGAGACTGCTGTGCTGAGCAGAGCTGGGGGCTGATGCGTGGAGGGGGGTCCCCCTCTCCCTGCCTCAGGATAGGTCTGTCAGCCTGCTGTCTCCCCTGCCCCAGACACACCATTCTCCTCTCCTCCCCTCCCCCCCCCTTTCAGTTGAAAAGTGGCTGGCAATCTAAAAGGATGCCCCTGGAATGATGGGATTGAGAAACCTGCATCATGTAATGCGGTACCTGCCCCATGAGGCATTGCAAACCCTTCTCAACGCATCCTGCAGCCAGTTGCACAGTGAGATACCTACCCCAGTGCACTGCTCTGTGTCAACACGAGAGCTGCTAGTGTGGACGCACTCGGCCAACACAAGGACCTAGTGTGGACATGCAACAGCGCTTTTAATTAAAGCGGCATAACTTTTGCTGACAAAACTTTGTAATGTAGACAAGGCCTAAGAGTCACCAGGCCTGACTGGCATGTTCAAAAGCTATTTTGCTCTGAACAGGGAAGTCTTAAGTTGCCCTTTCCTATGCCAAAGTAGGAGCAAGTAATAAGGGAAGGTAGTGCTACATTTTCCCGCTTGCCTCTCACCTTCCTCCCCCTCTCGGAAAACCAACCTCAGATCTCTGCTGTAAAAGGATGCTTCAGTGCTGCCAGTGTCCCCTCCTGAATGGAGGTGATGTGAGTGCTAGTGGCAAATTTGTTAGATAAAATCTCTTCTGGAACAAGGGAATTCTTTTCTCTCCCCTTCTTCCTCCTCCTGCTGCAGAGATTGCAGCATCCTCGCAAGCTGTAGGGGCTGAGAGCCTGGGGCTGCATTTGAGTACACATCTTTGGAGCCCTTTGACTAGCTTTGATAAGGAGGTGAACATAGCTGGCAAACTGATGTTTTACTGACTTCCCCATGTTTTTCTTTCCAGGTACTGAATGGAGCACTTCCTCCAGTGCAGCTTCACCAAGTCTCTTCCAGATGACTCACAGACGCACTCCCTCAGAGGCAGACCGCTGGTTGGAAGAAGTATCCAAGACGGTCAGAGCCCAGCAGCCACCACCAGCGGCCCCACAGCCATTCGCACAGCCTCCCCTTGCGGCTTCCAAGCCAGCGCCACCTTTTCCAGTGAACACCTTTGTTGCTCCTCAGCCAGTGCCAGTTGGCGTGGTACCGCCAATGCAGCCAGCATTTATCCCTGCTCAGCCGTTTGCTGTAGCAAATGGAATGGCCTTTTCTGCTCCCAGTGTGCCTGTGGTTGGAATCACTCCTTCTCAGATGGTAGCCAATGTTTTTGGAACTGCAAGTCCCATTCCAGCATCCCATCCCCATCAGTCACCTAGTCTTGTCAAACAGCAGACGTTCCCCCAGTCTGAAACCAACAGTGCTACTGCCAGTCCATTCTTCAAATCTTCTGCTCAGCACAATGGCTCCGCAGCTTTCAATGGCGTTGACAGTAGCAAATGGGCCACTGAGGACAAGCAGTTACAGCCTCCTGCATCTGGCCACCAGGTAGATCCATTTGAAGCACAGTGGGCAGCACTAGAAAGCAAGGCAAAGCAGCGCACTAACCCATCTCCAACTAACCCCTTCTCAAGTGATTTACAGAAGACGTTTGAGATCGAGCTTTAAACATGTATTGTGTGCTAGGATGGAGGGAGCAGAGGACTAGTTCTAATTTGAACATTTTGATAAACTAAAAAGGTCCCTACAAATGAAGAGGGAGCAGTCATGGGAAGGAGAAACCTACGATGGACCTGTTATGCAGTTATTAGACAGGAATTATGGAAACACCCCTTTCTGCCCGCCCTCCCTCCCTCCCTCCCTGCTTGGAAAGCTAAATGGCAGAGGAAACCTAAGAGATCCGAGGTGGGGGTTGAGCCCTGAAGCCCATTTGCTGGAATATCAAGAGATCTCACAGGATGAATATCCAATGATCTACCTTTGTCTTTAGGTTCTTTCTACTTTTCTGTGAATTGTGAACATTCCCCTGGAGGAAAGAGGAAGCAAAGTTTTCTAAGGTGGGGAAAGGAGTTGTTGGATGTATTAGGAGAGGGGGGAGTTGTCAACTGCCCAGCAAAAGCTGTTTGTGGAAAAAGTTGAGCTTCCATTTTGAGTAACAGAGCGAATATTATATATATAAAGAATAAAATAAAGCCAAAATCTTTATTTTTATGCATTTAGAATATTTTAAATAGTTCTGGCTATTAAAAGCTGTCTGAGTTGTAAGTAATCTTGCCAAAGGTAAAAAGGGGTGGGATGTAAGAAATTGTACATAAGATTGATTTATCACTGATTCTTATTGTAAGTAATATGGGGGAGGGAGGAGATGGGTCCCTAGCTTGTTCTTGTATAAGTTCATTTGTAAGTGGCATATTGCAACAACAATCATGAGTCATGACCAATAAAGTCACTATAGAGTAGTTTTAAATAAAAAAAAAATTAAAGAACAGTATTGCCATGGTTTGAAAACCATGGGGAAATTCTATTGTCTTTTTTTAATGGAATCAAACTAAATATTATATTGTATGTATTTTTTCTTTCATGTACTGCTGCAGTTTCCTTGTCTTAATTTTAACACTACTGTGATTTACTGTAACCATATCTACAATCTGGGGCTACCCAGGAACCCATTTTGTGTTTGCTCCATAGATTCGTTTTTTAACTTTGTTTGTGAAACTTTGTGATTAGGGCTGCAGCTGTTCCAAGTTCTGCCTCTGGTGACTTGTGAAATCCATCTCATTTTAACTTTACTTTTAAACTTTGGCCTTACAAGCAAAAGTAAGTTATATATTTGTACTGATTATGATGATTTATAATCTGCTTTAACAGAAATAAATGTTGGTGGTAGAAACTTGCATTTTGCAAAGTTTTCCTTCTTTCTCCCTCTGCATGCCTTCTTTGTATCCTATGCACTCAGTTCATACCCTTACTTGCCTGATAAGCTGAGAAGTCACTTCAGTGCCTGTGTTAAACAAAATATTGATTCTTTCAACAGCTAAATTCCTTTTCTCATATTTTCTACATACTATTAAAACTGGTTACCTAGAGCTCTTGGACCTGATTTTTAAATGTGCTGGGCACCCAAGGTTCTCATTGACTTCATTTGAATGTTTTGAGTATTTTGAAAATCAGACTCATAGCATTTTTCACTGCCTAGTGAGATCCTTGATTTGCATCACTGATTCACATATCAGAGTGAATGTCTCGGGCTCTTATTTGCTTCCAGGGGGTGGATACCCTTCTGTTCCATGGCAGTTATGCCCAAAGCTATCAGTCTTGCTGTGTCATGTAACAGAATGGGAAAGAGTAGAGAAGGTGTTTTTCTCTTACCCAGCATAAAGGCATGAAGATCCTGGCAGCCCCTGGAGAAGGCAATCAATCTCTGTTCTTACTGCTCTCCATTTTTCTGAGGTTCTTTGTATTCCACAAATATGTAAGCTGCTGCCTATGCTATTAAGGTAAGTGGTGATGCAACTTATCCAAAGAGAGTTGGTGAATGTGCTTAGATTTCCCTGTGCAGAGAGGCTAAGTATAAAACACAAGCCACTATGTGGCTCATATTTCCCTTTCTAAAAAGTTCATCATTCTGCTGAATCCAGTAATTTGTATCTTGAATGATAAGAGAAGTTTAGTCTCAAACACTAAACCCAGGTAAAGGGAACTTGTGCTTTTATTTTTCCATTGAAATAAATTGGTACTTTCTGTGACTGCTAGAACCTGATGTGTGTCCATGGGGTAAGACGCACCCTAGGCCATGTTCCTCAAGACTTAGCAAGTGCTACCTTTTTTTAAAAAAAAAAATCCGTTTATTGTGTTATTTTAAAGTTGCATGGCTAAGCACTCAAGTCAGGCAATGCTGAGTTTAAGATTGGCCATGCAACATTAACTCTGCCCCTTGTGTTGTCTAATACCATGAACATACCATTTCTCAAATACAGCGTGACCACTTTTTCTGCAACATCAAATACAAATGCTACCATAAATGTCACTTTTCATTCCTCTTGTAGATAGCCAGTCAAGGGGAATACAACATTCAGATTTGTCTGATACAGCTACACCTACCATTTGATGTCAGTCCAAGCAGAATATGATCTTCCTGCAGTCCACTAACATTCTTCCCTGAACAGTGAACATATTTTACTTCATGATATTTAGAGACAGCCCAAAAAAGTAAACAATCTGCTAGTTTGGTTACTATACAATTAAAGCTTCAGCAAAATCTCAGAGAATAAAATCGGTAGGGGAAAGGACAGCTTCATTCAGTTTGTAAGGTGGTTGTATGTCTTTTTAAAACAGTGTGAAGTAACGGGTCTATTTAGGAATCCATTTGAAAAATCAAATACCTGGACAGCTGCTTCAAAATATCTATACTGAAACTGGCCATCATCCATCTTTCTACAGTGAAGAGAGAGTATGAGCAACTTAATGTAACTAACTCCACTTCATCAAAACTAGATGGTGACATCAGCTGCTTTAACCAAAAAAAGGCCTTTACTTCAAGTGGAACTTATTACCAATCCTGTGCTGCAGGAGCTGACTATTTACATGAGTGCTACATAATTGTATAACTTAACCAAAGGTTGACTCTTGCTAACATGTTTTAAACATTATACTGTAGAAATTGTTACACTGGTAAATCGTCTTCAGCTCAGCCTGGGGGAAGTGTGGTGACCACTCAGTTTCGGATAAAGTTCTAACTGTGTTTCGTTCGCTTCTCTCTATATGCTTGCTTCAGGGCATTGCAATGGTAAATCAGAAGGGGGCAGGGCTAGCCTCTAGTGGTGTTCTCCTGCTGCTGGTGCTCTGTAGAGAACATGCACAGCCCCCTGAGAGGAATCTTAATATTGAGAGATTTAGGAATTGAATTTCACTAATTTATATTTCTCCACATGGTGACTGCCAACCAGAAAAGTGCTTAACACTCCTGTGTGGCAGGTGGTGTCCCTATTCACTAATGGAGAAACTGAGGCAGAGAAGGGTTAGGATTTGCTTAATGTCACAACAAGGCTAGGAAGAGAATGCAGACTTTAATGCTGCCTTATATAGGAGCAAAGAAAGTCTGTTACAGGAAAGGATGGCTAATTTTGCTTAGTACCCTGCATGGGAGGAGAAAAGGTGATGGGATACGCTACAGTAAAAATTTGCTCAACCTTGTTAGAGTAGAAAATAGAGACTTTCCTAGCAGATTATTAGGTTTGTTGACTAGTTTAGACCTCAGCATGTACCCAGCACACATTCACTACAACCCACATGAACTGACCAAAATCCAGTTTTACGCTAGTAAAATGGACTTGGCAACACCATGTGGGGGCAGCTGGCTGGGAGGGAAAAGCAGTGCTTCAGGGCCCAGCCTAGAATCAAAGAGGGAAATACCAAAGGTTGAATAACACTGAGTAGGTTAGGCCTCTACACATGCTGAAATGTAGCGTAGGGGTGTAGCTGACCAACTCACTCAGGCTACAGCAGGCATGTTGGAACAAGGAGATGGTGCTCCATATGTCAGTAGTTCTCTCTAGAGGAAGCTTTATACATAATACACTAGTGTAGGAGGCAATAATTGTTTGGGGATGTTACCGTGTCTTGGCTTGAGCAAGGCACTGCAGTTTTCTTTCACAGTCCTGTGTATACATTTGATGGTGCCACCCTTTGTTGGTCACAGAATGCTGAATGCTTCTGTTCTATTTACACTGCATGTGGAATTCCTTACCTGTAGTACCACCCTGCTGGAATGACTACCTCCACTGCTCTGAGAGGGTGGGGTCCTAAAGGACATGTAGTCTTGTGGCAGTTAAGCGAGGACAGAGCTCTAAAACACTGGTGAGTCAGTTGGCAGAAAGCAGTCTTTGTGCTAAGCCCCAGCATGGTGCTGGATGAATTAGAAAAGCAGGAATGGTTAAAGCACAGGGACTTGGCCCACCTGAAATGCCCCTGTTGCTGTGATCAGTTAAGCAATATCTGTTTCTTCCCAAAACTTGCCATATTTCAGTGGATGCTGAAATGACCTGTCTGGAGTTGTGTTTGAAGTGTGTTAGGATGAAAGAAATAGCCTTCAAGAAACACTGAGGCTGTCATGGGATTAGAACACCATGTTTACATGCAATAGGTTCTGTTGCCCTTCAGTGCCCACAGGCTTTTAGATGGGAACATTCTGCCTCACTGTTCAGGGTATTAGTGGATGGTGGTTGTCTTTCTCCAAGTGGCTCACAGATTTTGTTTTTAGGAAAGCTTTCTCTTGCTTGCATGAAGTGTGTGTCTCCCTCTCTTTCACGCTGCCTGTTAAGCTTCTCTAAAGTAACAGGATTCTTTGGTTCTTAGCATTTCTTCTGTGAATGAAGGCAGGTGTTTGTGTGAAAAAAAGGAGCTGTGATGTGTTTAGGACAGTGGAGCTTCTACTGCCTCTGAACAATGGCACTGAGTAGCATTCATATATTGGCAAAACAGCCCACCTGAGTGATGAGCAGAGTGAGGCTCCTAAAATGTGTTTTTTGGAGTAAAAAGGACAAAGTCCCTGTTCCTGTCCAGTAATCTTCCTAGGCCACCATCTCTTGGGAGCTGGGCTAGAGCTGATTCTCATCCCTGTTGGTGAGAAGGGTTGTCCTGGGGTTGGTACTGAGAACAGCTGGCACAGCAGAAGCTGGAGTAATACTCATTAGTGCAGAGCTGGGCCTGTATGATCAGATCACAGTTGGCAAGGTGTGGCTGGTCAACACACTGGGTGGTCAGGTCCACAGCTGCAGCAAAAGAAATAGCAGGAGGAGAATGACAAGTTAAATGGGGGAGGGAGAGGGCATCAGTGCCTGTTTAGTGCTGCACAGTAGTAGCATAATTTCTGACAAACACATTTATATTTCTAAATGAATAATTAGTCAAAACTCAGTTGATCTGCCAGGACCTTCTTTGTCTTTAAACATCATAAGCACTTAGGAGAGAGCATGTTCCTGCCTTCCCCATGCTGACTGTGTAAACAAGTCTTTGCTACCTTCCAGAACTGTTCAGTTGGGCTCTAGAAATCCAAAGTTAGATACCAAAGTAGGTGGCCGGGTTTGCTGAGCACCTACAGCTCCCACCAGATGCACAGGGAGTTGTCAGTGCTCAGCACCTGAAAATCAGGCATGTCATTTGTAGGTGCCTGAACATGGATTTAGGAGCCAACTTCTGGTTGCCCAAGTTGAACATTTTGGCATTAATGATTTCAGCCTCCCAGCTCCCTCCTGAAGTTAATCATCTTTGTTTCACAGCTGGGGGAAACCAATGCTCAGGTCTGATGTGAGTTCAGTGTTACATAACAAACTGATGGCAGAGTTTGGAACAGAACCCACAGTCCTGCTGCCCCCCCTTGTGAGGGCAGTTAGTGGGGGGAGAGGTGGGTGATGGGCAGACACAGAATCCTGCTTGGAGGGTGTTAGGGAGTCCAGGGCCTGCACCCCTCTTCCTGGGATTCACTGTGACTACCAGCCAGCCACTAAAATGGAAGGTTTATTAGACAATAGGAACACACTCTAAAACAGAGCTTGTGGGTACAACCAGGACCCCTCAGTCAAGTCCTTCTGGGGGAGCAGGGAGCTTAGACCCCAGCCCTGGGGTTCCCTGCATTGCACCAAACTGAAACCAACCCCTCCCCCCCCCCAGCAGGCTCTCTCCTGCAGCCTTTGTCCACATTCCCAGGCAGGTGTTACCTCCCCCTCCTGGCTCAGGTTACAGGCTCCCAGGTATTCCATCCCCTGTGAAACTCCCCTGCCACATTCCCAGGTCAACACTCCCCCCTCCCTACTGCATCACAGAGGGCTGCAAAGGCAAGTAAACAAATAGCTTTTTCTAGTGTACCCAAACTGTTCTAATCAGTCTCTTTCAAAGTAAACGTAAAACAGGCCTAGAAGTGGAACAATACTGTATTAATGAATCCAGGTGATGGGGGGGGGAGAAGAGGGGAAGAACTGGTCTTGCTCACCTTCAGGTCTGCTCTTAATCACTTTCACCTTGGTGCTGGCACTGACAGAGTTGCTGCCCCTGTAGGCATTGCATGTGTAAGATCCCTCATCACCAGCCTGAGCATTGTTTATAATCAGGCTTCCATCCTGTGACAGGTGGATGTGGTGACCATCCGCTCGCATTGGAACTCCATTCCTGTAGTGGAAAGCCCATTCTATGATAAGAGTTTGAGGGCCTAAGCTTCCTTGGGCATTTGAACTGACTAATTTTTCAGGTGAACGACAGAATCTTTGTCATTTCTTCTTTTGAAAGGCAAAGATAAGTAAATCAAGGTAAGCACTTCTGCCATGCCAGGGGCCCTATAATTACAGATGTATTTAAAGCCAGAATCCACCAAAGTGGGGAAGAGACAGCAGCATGCTCTGTAAAACCACAGCTTCTCTCCAGTATCAAAGGGCATTGAGTGGTTGGCTAGCAGTGATCAGCTGTGCTACCTGCTGCTTGCTATCTCATACTCCTCCAGGCCCCTTCTGACCATGAGACCCAGGCATGTGGCCAGTAAAGGGGGATTGGCCCCTTTTTCTTCCTCCTTCAAGAAGATCCAAAAGACTGCTTGTGTGTGTTTGTTCTTTTTAACAGTAGAAAGTCAGATATTGGCTAATGTTTCTCCTGGAATACGCTATACAGGACTGGAGAATAGTAGAATTATGAACTCGGTTACAAAGGAAATTAACCCTTTTCAGTGAACAGGTTTCGTTTTACTCAGACGTTAACACTTTGTTTCTTGTTTTGTAAATTCAAATACCTAATGCTCATAGAAGAAAATCTTTGTTATAGATTCAACAGCCCTGCCCCTTCAATTAAGGACCAAGACCATTCCCAAGCCACTTCTCTGGGTCCTCCACCAAGAACACCAGCACAATGATACTGTTTTTTGAGCAGAAAAAATACACAAAAATTTATTTTATCAAATACACCTTGTAAAGTAGCCCAAAAAAAGGGGGGAGGGGAAATGTTTTTCCCCTTGTAATTGATCTTTAATTCTTCCCTGTCCATAACTGGGGGGGGGGGGGGGGGGGGGGGAGATGGGCACGGGCACGAATGGCTCCTTCTAGTGGAGCTAGGAGAATTCCCTGCCGTTAAAGGGTCTGACAAAAAGCGCTCTCTCAATTCTTCAGCCTCTACTTTTTGCTGAGGTAAATGTCACTATTATCCATCATAGCATCTTCCAGTCTAGCCAGGACCTGAACTTCTCTGCAAGGGGTTCTTAGCTCTAGCATCTGCTTTCTTCCATGGCTCACCAGAGCCCAGCTGTGGTGCAGGATGTACCTGCAGGGGAAGAGTAAGATTAATTGGGGCGGGGGGGGTGAGATATTGCAGGAGGCTCAGAGGCTGGTTGGCTGCCCTGTGTTAATATTTCATGCAGGTTCTGCAGCATGCCTAGAGTGGGGGATAAATGACACCATTCAGAGAGGAAAGAGGGACAGGAAATGCTGTTACCAAGGGTTGTACTGCTCACCTTGACCATCTGATGTTCACATTGTTGCCTGTCACCATGCACTGGAGCTGGGCATTCTCTCCCACCGACACAGTGAGGCTTGGCAGCAGGCCCAAGATCCTCAGCTCTCCTGGGCAGAGGGGAGATCAATAGCAGGAAGACCCTTCTATCCTGTCACTGATGGTAGGGACCATTCCTTCATAAGAAAAGTCTTTCCACAGTGGCTCTAAATGCCCAACCAACACTTGGGCAGGCTCCTGAGCCCTCAGCCAGCTTTGCTCTCCCAGCTGGGCACTAGCATGTGGGACAAGGGTAGAGAAGAGGAATCCCCTTGATTTCTCTTCTGCACCCCTGCTGAAATCTTGTCCACACTAACATCCTTTCAATGAACCACTATGGTACAGCTGTCAACCTACAGTCAGCAGCAGCATAATTACACGCTGCAGCTATTCTAGTCACATATGGACTTTACAGCCATTGGGGAAGCAGTAAATATAACTACCCCTTTCTCCTAGCCTAGTCCTGAATGTGACCTGACTAACACACGGTGGGGTCTATAGAGGCCAAATCCATGACTTCAGCTGGGGCACTCTACACCCTTTCCCACTCCCTTCTTTTAATAATCTAAAAATAGAGTGGGGCCTTTTCCTCCTCGTTACCTAGAGTCCGAAGTTGGATCTGCCGTTGATCCTGCTCATGGCCGTTCGAAGCAATGCAGGTGAAGAAGCCAGCATCTTCAGAGCCAACGCGACTGATCACCAGGGCACCATCAGACTGCTGCCTGTGCCTGGGGACAAAAGCCACAAATTCCCCTGAGTGTCGGGAGAGGGAGTTTGCAGTCATGGTGTTAGGAGCAGCGCTGCACGTGAGGTCTTAAGCAACGTTTCTGCTAACACCCTCTGGGCAAACATTCAGCAGCAACACAGATTTAAGTGGGCTACGACACCCCTTAGCAATAAGGGGAACTGTGCCACCACATCCGTCAGCCACTCCACAAAAATAGATCCTAGTGCTGTGATCTTCAGAGAACGCTCAGATCCATCCTCTAGGGGAAAGCTATTACAAGGTGACCCCAGTAACTCTTGAAGTTCCCCTTAATGTTCTTATACCCTGTACCTACCAGGTGAATTTATCCCCTTTCTCTGTGATTTTTTTTTAAACTAATTTGGTTGATCGAATGACATGTGGCAATCTTGCATATGAACAAATTTCAGCCTCTGGCTCACTGGTGAATTATTCACCACACCTGTTCACTTGAAAATGATGTTCACACCTTAAACTGTGGGCCACACCACCTAAAATCACATGGTATTGTTTCTATTCCCTGATGGGATGGAATAATCGTTATAAACCAGTGCAAGGCCTGCCTCCATCATTAGGGCCTTGATTCTCTCAGGTAGAGAATGCATTATGCACCAGGAGCCCCAGCGTTGTCATCAAAGCCACATGAACTCACCTGGAAGAGGAGACAGGCTGCCCGTCCTTCTGCCACTCGATGGTTAAAGCAGGTGAGGCTTCTACTCCGCAGGGCAGTCTGACTTGCTCCCCAATGTTGGCATCCACCACCGAAGGCTCATTCTTATCCATTATTAATCTGCAATACAGACCCCCACAAGCACAGCGACTTCCTAGTTCAGCATTTGCAAATCAATCCAGCTTTGTTGTATTACTGCTTGCTTTGTCCCCCTGGGGAGGGAATGAGGACCTGTGCATTCCCCTCAGAATCTTGATGCTCCAACCCTCTCTCCCTCTGGAAAAAATAGCCTCAGTTTAACCAGGAGCCAGGTGAGTGTGACTTGCTGAAATGCATTGTCTCCACATTAAAGCTTTGGAGAGTGCAGACCTACATACACATCCTCCTAAGCATTCCTTTGGCTGTCGGCCTAGAAATGTCAGGAGGTCACTTTGAGTGATGTTAGGCACTGTTGATCAGGGAACCAAACGAGCTTCACCTGTAAGTGCCTGTCCGTCACACACAACTGAATACATTCATAGGTTTAAAGGCAGGCGGGAATAATTATTACACTGATCACCCTCTACATAGCACCAGCCATAGAACCTCATCCCCCAAGGAATGTCTGCATCAAGCCCTACCCTGGTGTCCTGTAACAGTACTTAGGGTGACCAGACAGGGGTGGGGGGTAATAGGTGCCTACATAAGAAAAAGCCCCCAAAATCGGGACATCTGGTCACCGTACCAGTAACATATTTGCCTCTTCAGTCTGCATAAAGATCAGGTGATGCAGCCAAACATCCTTTCAGATGGGACTAAATCAGCCCTGTTTTATCCTTTGGGATGGACAAACTAGGCTAGAGTAAAGGGAAAACACCAACTCCCATCCTTTACTCAAAATTAAAACCAAATCCTTCTTGAGCTTCAGAAAAAGTTTAACACCTTCACCTTCTGCCTCCTGCTTGCAGCCAGAGTTGGTCTGAGGGTTTTGGAAGCCCTCAGTGACTGGGGGTTTGGATCTGCAAACTTGAAAGTAGGGAAGGCTCAGGTCCTGGTCCCATTTTATCTGAGCCACCAAAATTGTGTGGTTAAGGTGAATAAAAAGTTTTCCCCCTTCTCTATTTACAGCAGGACCCAGAAGTATCCAAGTACCATATAAGCAGCCGTTCTTGCCTAATGCCCAGCCCAGCCATTGGGAACCAGGCAGGACTAAAAGGCTCACAAGACTCTAGACGAGTGGGGCTGTGTTGGAGCTATGGTGCTGGGCTTTTGTTATTCAATGGGTCTGGTTTGTGCTTGTTTAAAATAGTCCTGTTTTGTTTTCTTTCCTTCTGGCAATGAATTCAGTTGCTAACCAGCGCAGCCCTAGTCATTTAAACCCTTCTCTACTGCCAGGCGCCAGGAACCTGGTTGTTATGAATGGACTCTGTGAGGTAAAGATAGTTTGTCGCTCTCGTAGTAGTATGGCTGGGACATTTGCTAAACTCCACTTCCACCCACCCACCACCTCCAATTGCCCCCCAAAGCAAGAGGGCACCTCTCACCCTGATCTTCCCCACATGGATACCAGGTGGGTGTCACTTGGGCATGCCAGATGACAGTTGCTGGCCTTACCTGTACATGAGTGGCTGGTGTACAGAGGAACCAGATGACTGTACAGTATTAACTCCTCTGGTGAGATCTCTGTGTTGGTGATTCAGACCATGAAGGAGCCGACCTCTAATACCCTCTGTCAGAGGAGATCCACGGTCCTCTATTCAAAATAAAATGCTGTATGTGAATAATACGATCCATCCCCCATGACCTCTTGTGCAGAGATGGTGTGAACTTGGGAGAGTTAAAGCAGCTGCTGAACTGGAGCCAAGACCCTGCAGCATCTGTTCTCTGATTGAGGAGTGCTATAAACCTGCGATTCCTATTAATGGGAGCTACAGCCATGCAGGCAGTGGATATTAGACTCCTTCCTTGCCTGCAGCAGTATCCCTTAGGTAAGGAAGCCTTTTGCCATTACCACAAAAGAATGGCAGAGAGAAGCCGATGTTTCCCATCCCCCTGCAGAGGCATGAGGGCACGCTCTGGAGAGGTGAGGGGAGGCTGTTTAGCCTTCTTTTATTAAGATAGTCATTTTTTTATAATGCACTTTTTAAAAAAAGCATAGTAAATAGTTCACTCTCTGGCAGGCCCATTCTGGGCGAAACTCCAGCATCTCCCACAGGCACCAAGAGTCAAAGTGGAGTTGTCTGTCCCAGCAGAGCATATAACATGATATGGTGTAGGACAGGCAGCCATGGCAGTGATTTCAGACCAAGGCCTGCAGGATTCCCCTTCTTTAGAGCCCTCTCTGCACCCAGTAAAGTGTTAGAGGAGAGAAGATAGCACTCCAGGATGAAAATATATTGAGGCAGCTTGTCCTGCTGGAGCTGTGACTGGCATTTGGCAAGTCACTGCTCCAGTTATGATTGGCACTGCAGCATTTCTCACTGCTGGCATCAGGGCTAACCCTCGGCAGTCACTGCGCTGAGGAAACGTATTGCTGGGATTATGGCTAGCACTCAGCAGGCTGTGGCCACTGCCATGGAAGAAGGTAGCAAGACACTGCAGTGGAGAAAAAAAACTTACCTACCTGTAACTGTTGTTCTTATAGAGGTGTTATAGCCATGTATTCTAACTAGGTGTGCACACACCCAGTGTGCTGGAGCCAGATAATTTTGCCTAGTAGTCCTTGTCATGGGGGGCACACACCTTGCAGCCATACCCCCTCCCCTGGGCATATAAGGGCAGCACTGTCCCAACCCCCTCTGTTCTTTTGCACCAAACATCAGAAGTACAGACTCCGATGCAGAGGGAACAAAAGGTGGGGCATACAATACATGTCTGCATCACACCTCCAAGAACAACAGTTACAGGTAGGTAACCAGTTTGCTTCTTCTTGGAGCAGATGCAGCTATGCAATCTACTCAGGTGAGTTGCAAGCAGTACTCTTAGAAGGTGGGGCTCGGAGTCTGTTTACACAAGGACTGCAAAATTGCTTTCCCAATGTTTGCATCTGATCTGGGCACAGCAGTAATGCCACAACGGTTTGTAAAAGTATGTACAGAGGATCAAGTGGCAGCCCTGCCCAATCTTGGAATGGCACTTAGCAATGCTGTCGAAGGTGCCTGGGCTCTCGTAGAATGAGCTTGCACCCTTTGAGGTGGTGTAGCTTGGGCTCCTTCGCATGCTGTCATGATACAGGGAATTATACACCTCAAGACTGTTTGTGAAGAGACCACTTGACCCTTCATGTGGTCTGCATGTGACATAAACAAATGAGATGAGGAGCAGAAAGCTTTGGTCCTATCCAGATAAAAAGCTAAACATCGCCTGGCACCCAGTGTGTGAAGATGATGTTCCTCTGGGGTGGAACGTGGCTAGGGATGAACACTGGTAAATATATAGCTTGTTTCAAATGAAACTGGGAAACCACTTTGGATAAAAACGTAGGGTGTGGCTGTAGGGTTACTCTTCATGGCAAGAGCACCTAAAGTCCCAAAGCATGTAAAGTAGTTGAGGAGCCTTAAAAGAGTGCAGGGTTTTGTCATTTTTTTCTGAAAACAAAACCTATCCACCACATGGTAATTCCTCAACCATCTGCTGCACATCAGGCTCAATGACTAAATTCTGCAGCCATGAGGCCCTCGTAGTCACAATTGATGCCATAATTCTGGCCATGGCATCTACCACGTCCAGAGCTGACTGCAATGAGGTCTTGGCCACTATACGGCCTTCCACAATGAGTACCATAAACTCTTCCCTAGAGGGTTCTGGCAACTTGTCCTTGAACATAGACATGGCCATCCAATTGACAAAATCATATTTAGAGAGCAACGCCTGCTAGTTCATGATGTGCATTTGCAGGAAAGAGAGGAGATAAATCTTCCTTCCTCCTATTAGTCCATCCTCTTGGACTCTTTGTTCTTAGAGGTAGACTTATACCTCCCCTAGCATGCCCTGTCATTTGCTTCAGTTACCACCAGAGAGTTAGGAATCAGGTGGGAGTGGAAACCCTCAAAATCCTGCATGGGAATGAAGTCCTGCTTCTCCAAATGCTTCACTGTGGGAGGCAACAGAGTGCCTTTGCAGGCTTCAGAAAAGCCCCATTTATTGGGATGCTTACTCTCCCTGGATCTGATGATTGGAGAATATCCAGCAGCTTATACCATATTCTCCTGCAGGAATTCTGCCTGGATACCTAGGGTAGTGGCCACACACCTCAGGAAGTCCTGATCTGCTTTAAAATCATCTTTAAAATGGCCCTCCCACATGATGGACAATGCTTGAACCCTGGTGACGGCAGCCAACTACTCCAATTATTATTACACTAACACTAAACTTAAGTTACTACTACATACAAGAAAAAGTCTCTCAGACCGAGACCAAGAGCGCGAGGTGAAAAACACCACATAAGAATGGCCATACTGGGTCAGACCAATGGTCCATCTAGCCCAGTATCCTGCCTTCCGACAGTGGCCAATGCCAGGTGCTTCAGAGGGAATGAACGGACCAGGCAATTATCAAGTGATGATGGAGCTCCAATTTTAGCCACGGGTCATGAGAAGAAACTGAGGGGGCTGGGGTGGTGCTGCCCTTATATGGCCAGAGGTGGGGCTAGGAGAGCAGGGCGCGAGTGCAGTTCCTGTGAGTATTGCTAGGCAAAGTTCTCCAATGCCAGTGCACTGGGCGTGCACACACCTCCGCAGAATACACAGCTGCGTCTACTCAAAGACGTTCCATTACAAGTTGCCTCTGCAACTGACTTTAATTGTTCCTGTTACCAATGACTCTTAAAAAGGGACAGAGAAGAATTAATATTCTGGTTTTAAATGGAAGATAATGAGTCACCTTTGATCCTTAGCTGAATCTGTCGGCTCTCCATCTTCCCATTTGAAGTTATGCATGTGTACATCCCAGCATCCTCAGCCCTGACACGGCTGATCACCAAAGAACTGTCAGACTGGTAGGCATGCCTACAGATGGAACACATGCTGTTACGTATGAGAACCTGGCTGTGGGTGCTGATTGTCCAAAGCCACATTCTGATGGGCCAGTTGGGCCTGCTTATGTCACAGCTGCAGTGACCTCTCTGTGGTGAATGGCTGGGTCCTCATCACTGGAATACAAAACTCCCCAGGTTATTGAATGGGTGAGAGGAGGGGAGACAGCTGTCAAAAGAGGAAACTGAGATGGGGGAAACAAGGGGGGGGAGGAGACACTGTGACCGTTTTAAATTGTCCCCTCCCCTGAAGTCCCAAGCTGCTCTTTCAGCCATAGTGTGTGGTCCTCCAGTGTAAAACAAGACTGGGAACTGTTCAATATTCCCACCTTAGTTTTTACAATAGAAAGTGACTGCTGGGCAACACACTGCCACAAGAGACCTCCTAGAAAACCCTGTAAAGCTGAAATTTAAGAAGGGTTTCTCTCAAAGGTTAAATTTTAAATGGGATGAGCCGCAATCAGATAGCATTAAGGCTCCCCAAGACATACATGGTTGGCTATTAATGCACTTCCTGGGCAACTCTACCATCTTCCGACAACACTGAAAAGGACTTCGCACTCAAAACTCACTTGTGTAACCACTTGTGAACTGGGTGTTGTTGCTGAAAGTTGGTGAAGTGATAATCCATAAGTGTTCAGCTGCACCACATTGAACAATTAACAGCCTATTTGTTATTGCTATGCCTAGGCCTTTCTGGTATCACCTAGTAGCAGGGTTCAGTTAGGAGGGGATTTTCCAGTTTACCAAGTTATTTTCTTTGTATTTTGTTTTTTGAGAATGTCCTAGAAAAAAGATTCTGCAAACTAATGGGGGAGGGGTGGGATCGTGATGTTGGAACAGGAATTGCAACATGGGACCAGATTTACCTGTCAGATGATAGTGGCTTCCCATCTTTCTGCCACTCAATTCTGGGGAAGGGAGAAGAACCTGCCTTGCAGAGAAGATGAATGGTCTGTCCCAAGGCTGCCTCCACTACAGAGGACTCGGCTCCTTCCAGGATGACTCTGACAGAGATAGAGATGATTTCACTCCCTGTGTCCATCTCTTGCTCCCCCACCCTGTCTTTGTTTTCTCTAAGGATAATCTCCAGCTTCAGTAGATATACCCATGTTAGTTCTGATTGAGCGTGAGTGCCAAACAGAGAAGTGTAGCCACAGTGGCAGGAGGGACTTTCCGCCCATGTATGATCCTGTCTGAAATCATAGGTACCTACTTGGGCAGCTATGCCCGCTCACTGATGTGGCTACTCTTCTATTTTTAGCACACTGGCTCAACCAAAGCTAGTGCAGGTATGTCTACCCAAGTTGGAAATCACGCCTCTAGCTCCAGCGTAGACATACCTGTAAGATAGGCCTTAAGGACAGGATGGGGGCTACACAATAGTGAGCTAAGTAACCCAGAGGTCAGTTATATATAGCTCTGTTAGAGACTAGAGGCTTGAAAGCCTGCGCTCGGCAATCCAGGGCTAGACCTCTCCTGTTGGGGAGAAGACCAATCTTTACAAGCTGAAATGCTGTGGACAGCCAATCGATGAGGTAGAGGCAGAGACCATTAAAACCCTAGTCTGGGAGAACAAAATCAAATCTGAATCCAGGTCCTCGAAGACACCAAGCTAGTGTTTTCTCTAGACTTACAATCGAACCAAATTCTCAAATCCTGAAATTCAAATGCCTTGGATTTGTGGGGCATTCATCAGCTGGATCTGGATCCATTTCCAGTATTAACCCCACTGCTGTTCCCCTACCATGCCAAAATAAAGTCTTGAAATCACACACAGGGCCAAATTTAACCCTGGTGTAAGTAAGCACAACTCCTGTTGATTTAAATGGGAGCCAGAGCTGGCCAACAAGGATCCCTGTAAAGTGCCCACTAGATATAAAGGATAGAGATTAAGGGCCAAATCCTGCATTCCTTACACACCCAATACTTCCACTCAAGTCAATGGCTGTATGAGATGTGCAGGAGTGGGCCCCAGAAGAGGTAAAGTGGGTACTAGACATCCCCATTGCATGGACAGCTGGCTTTCCACAGGGACACTATTGTAAGTAATCTGTAGTGGGAGATTTCAGGAGAGTGAGTTAGTTGTGGATTGGAAAACATTTCCCCCGGTAGAAGATGGCACTTGGTGCTTTGGTATCACAGCGAGGTGGTATAAAAGCGTCACCTGTACAAGCTTCGCTGCAAGGTGGAACCCGGCAAGGTTCGATGCCCAAGTCCATCCACCCCCGGAGTGTCTGCTCCAGAGGAACTCCGCCACGGCTCATGTTCATGCTGCACCACCTGCCCATTGACAGTTAGCTGCCTCTCCGAGTGCCCAGACACCATTGTTTCTCCCCTCCCATGCAGCTGGCTTGATTGGTCTGTCCTCCTTTCCCCAGGAGCTGAAGAGTGACGAGAGCCCCAGCGCTGGCTAACCAAAGTGCCATTCCTCTGTGAAGACTCTGGCAGTATATCCACATTCATGGTCCTGCTCCAGCCGTTCTCCCTGTGGTGCAGCCCTGTGCCCTGCCATGCCGTATGGCTATCAGGCCCAGGTTGGACAACATGGAAGGACCCTCGTGTTCCTCCTCCTTGGCTATGACTCTCAGTCCCTCTTGCAGATGGCTGCGGCTGTCCTTGGGCTTCTCCCTCTCGTGGGTGGGAGCCAGAGTGGATGTGCGAAGTCCCCCTGTGGTGCTGGTGCCCCACACTGCTTGTTCCAATGGAGCCTTGGCAGGCCCTCATGCACTCCTCCTCTGAGGCAAAGTTGTTTGTGTTGCCATGGCAACCACCATACCAGAACCGGTTGCACTTGCCGACAGCAGTTACAAAGTACCAGCGAGTGGTCCAGTCTGTGCAGGGGCCCTGGGCACTGGGCAGCAGACACTTGACAGGATAAGCTATGAACAAACGGCAGAAAAGAAAAAGATCTGATTGTGAGGGTTGACTCCTGGGTCCCCTATTTACTGAGCACATAGCCCCGATAGCTTTATCGCCATGCTACCCAAGGCTGCTGTCTGTGGAAGGAGAATGATCTCATGAGTAGCATACCCAGCTAGGAGATTGGGGTTCTGTTCCTAACTCTGTCCTTGACTCCCAGGGTAACCTTGAGCAAGACACTCTCACCTCTCTGTGTCTCAGTTCCTTATGTGTAAAATGGAGATACCACCACTTACCTCCCAGGGGCTGCTGGTGTTCATTTAGGTTTTATAGCCCAGCACAGTGTTACACTATTGTGAGTTATTCTTGAGCTCTGGGGTTCCTGCTTTAGGACTGGAGAGGGAGGGTGTCATTCCAAGGTCATCCACCCGAGGCTTGGAACCAGAACTGGCCACAAAACCTAGGGTAACACAAGGTGCTCTGGCCCCCACATGCTAGGACAAAGGAGTAAATGTAATCCCGTGGCCCTATGAACCTTGGGCTTCCTGCTGACTCACAGGCACTGTTCTGACTCCCTAGAGCTAGGATGCATCAGAGAAGCAGCTTCAGATGCTATGGCCCAGATTACAAAGTGGCCACTATAGGGGTGAGGAGGAGTGTGCAAGAAGTTGTCCCTTCCCGGGGATGGCTGGGCAGAAATGCTCCCAGTGGCTGTCCCTGTGCTCGAGAAGGGGGTTGGGGAAGGCGATGTAATAGCACACTCCTGATACTACTCTGCCAAGTACAGCTGGTGTCCTGGGGGACAGAGTAGCTCTATCCTAGAATGGGGCAAACAGCACTTCCTCTGAGCTAAAGGAACAAAACTGAGTAACAATTTCCCTGGAGCTCCTCCTGGAGCACCATGGCTCTGCAGTGCCCCTTACTCAGAGATCAGAGTAACAGCTGTGTTAGTCTGTATTCGCAAAAAGAAAAGGAGTACTTGTGGCACCTTAGAGACTTTCCACAGTATGCATCCGATGAAGTGAGCTGTAGCTCACGAAAGCTTATGCTCAAATAAATTGGTTAGTCTCTAAGGTGCCACAAGTACTCCTTTTCTTTTTGCTACTCAGAGATGTGGCTTCAAATCTTCAATTGAAGCCTTAAGTGACATGTTCAACCCCTAATTATAGCCCTGAAACCATACTGGGGTCAATAGGATTGTTTGGGGGGTAGGATATGGCCTACTGATAATAGGATGATTCCTAGCTTGTCATGGATCAAGGCAACTGACAGGGATCAATGCAAGCAGGGATGCATGAGTGAGTCCTGGCCTGCAGAGTGGCCCTTACGAGGAAGTCCTATAGACTCCAACAGAGATGAAATCAATAGGATTCTAAAGAAAGTTAATAGGGGTTGATAGGAATTTCTCTAATGTTTTTTTCCAACCATCATACAGAATCCTATTGCAGGGAGAGTATTTTTTATTATATTTTACAGGATATGTGAAAAACCCTATACAAAGCTTCACATTTTCTATTACAGTCTGTGGGACTTTCCTTTCAGGGGAGGCACATTTCTAAAGCAGGAAGCCAAAACATCACTTACGTTGGCTGGGTCTATTGAGGCATCCTTCCCCTTGAGGTCCTGAAGCTGAAGCAATGTTGTCATAGCAGCAGCCATAGAAAGACCCTCGACACTCATCAGACGGGTTCTGCTGGGACAAAGCTTGGCTTGCCTTAGTGAAAGGAATTCAAAGCCAAAAGTTACTGGGCAGCTACTGCTACCGCACCAGCTGCTGCACAGGTGAGAAATCATACAGTTTGCCCACTGGATTGGTCTAGCAGCTCGAGGAGCCATTATCAACTTTGATTTTCTATGAGTAAGTGTCATGCCAGCGGGGGAGCTAGACTGACAGCACTGGAGCCAAGAGATTCTCTGCTTATCTCCAGAACAGAGACAGCAAGTTCCGGGGCAGTGCAAGCCTCCCTATGCTGCCCACCAATGTGCCTGAAGGAATCAACTCTAGGGATAAGAAGGGAGTTCTTTCTCTGTGGCCACTCCTGCCCTTGGCTACTCTGTTGAGACTGCGAAGAGGGGAACTGCCAGTGGCGATGGTGGTGTTCTCCCCTGTCCACAAGGAATGGGATGGGGATCACTGTCTCATGTCACGGGGATCACTGTCTCATGTCACATAGACCACCGGATAATTGAATGGTATGGAATTTCAGTCATTATTCACCTAGGTTAGGCTAAAATGGGCAACTTCGAAGTGTGAAACTCTCGATATCGCTTAAGCCATCTGTCCCTGTTTGCATTTTGGCATGCCCCGCTAACCTGTACTGGACCACGAACCACCTTGTTAGCCCAAACTGACTCTACACAGGTCCGGAATCTAGCATCTCCCACTGCAAAGACCTATCAACTTACATTTTCAGAAAAAAACAATCATATCAAAGTTAGCCTCATAGAATGGCAGGAACCATACATCAAACACAGGCCCATAATCAAATACTTCCCTCTCCACATGCAGTGCTGCTGATTTCCAGTTGCCTTGAGAGAGGGAGTTTGGTTCAGTGTCCTATAATAAGGAATATTGAGTCTCTTCCCCAAACGAGGATGCTCCACTCGTCAACCCAGCAGCACAAATTGCAGCTTCTACACCACTACCCGGGACCCATTGCACGAGGGAATTCCAGTGGGGCTCACTGAGTGGCGGCAGATAGGAATGTTGGCTTTGTGGGCATCTAGCATCCTCCCTCTATCACTTCCCCAGAGTTATTGTTAGGAGACATAAAGAAAGCGTAGAACAGGAGCCAAAAACCTCAGTCTCCAGGGCCAGAGCCAAACCCTGAAAACAATGTGCTATTTCAACCAGATCTCAATATTATTAGTAAAAGGTTCTAGAGAGTTCTGGCACTTACCGTTGGGGAGGCTGCAGCAGGCCTGTTTCTGCTCACATAAACATCACTGTAATATTGTGTGCAACCCACATTGTTGGGGCCCTGGGCAGCTGATATTCCATCAGGGCAACATCCATACCTGCAGGGAAAAGACAAAGGGCTTAGCAAAATCTGTCTTATCTGGAACCCTGACCCAACAAAGGCAGTCTGTAATCATCAACTCTGCCATAGAGGGTGGTTCCACCAGATCAAACCTCACTGTTTCATCTAACCTGCTCTGATGGCATGTGCTGAAGGGGCAGCCTTGCCCAAAAGGGCCAGAAGCCGGAGTGCGGCCATCTGAGCAGCAGCCATGAGGGCTCTGGCTGCAGTCCCAAGGGCCAGTCCCTGTGGCAATATCCTGATGGGAGCTGAACTGCCGGGATCCTGAAGAGCTTGAGTGGGATTCCCAACGAAGAGGCAAGAAGTTAGAGCTATGGTCCTCATTGGGCTGGAGCTGATGGTGTGTGGAGCTACCTTGGATTGTTCTTTCATTGCTATAAACTGAAAAGAAAATTCCTTAATGCATGCAACCATTTCAGATGGGCAACAAAATCCAGTCTCTGTTTCCTCTGCCTCTGTTCAAAGCACATTGATAGATGAAAGAAGTCCTCTACCAGTCCGACTCTGAGGCCAGACTTGTTAATGTACATTTTCCACCTGGGAGAAAGTCACAGGGAACTTCCTGATTGAAGCTTTGGTTCCCATTCACAATGAATTCTGGTTCCTTAAGATTACTGTGCTACCAGATGACCTATTACCCTTAAGAAATGGTCTCTAACAATATTCTTCCTGTCCTCCCACTAGTCCAGGAAACACTGTTAGCTACATCATATGGGCAGTTTTCCCCCTCAAATATTCCTATTATAAAGTGACTGCGGGCAAGTGTTTAGCAGGTTTCTCAATACACACGGACTGGCCTTCAAAGGAATGATGACCTTCGTGAAGACTGAATATGGCATCAGTCACCTCAAATCACTTGCTGGCTACTCCCTCCCTTCTACAAACCCACCCAGCTCAGTAACAGACCTGAGATGCCCCCCACCTGTTTCACTTTCTCCCCCAAATGGGGGTTCCCTGTTCTCTCAGATTCTCTGGGTGTCTTTAGTTCCCAAATATCTTTTGTATCCGCTGCAGTAGTGGTTCAAAATAAGGCACTGGAGCTGCCAATGCAAGATTCTGGGTCAGACTTGAAACCTAAAGATGCCTGCAGCACACAACTGAGTGGAAACAGGGGAACTCTTCTAGAGATAAGATGGGGAGCAAGTCTGCAGGTGGCGAAGAAAGGTTTGGGACTGCCCTGCTGGCAAGGGACCATAGTAAACTTATTATTCTCCTGGCAACCTCTTGGACATGACTGCCAAAGAGGCACTCCATTTACACTATGCCTAATGCCACCCATATCAAAGTCTAGGATTTATGCACACATATATACATTCCTTTTTGAATTTGTATCTAGATACAACTCAATATAGATATAAAAGGATCTATAAATTGTTCCTCGCCCTACAATTCCTGGCAGCCCATGGAAGCCACATAAAGAAAACAGTAAAGAGGACATCATAAAAGAAAACACACGACTTCCAAACCTGCAGTGCCACTGTCTGGGTAGTAGCGGGTCAGCAAGTACTCTCGGCTGATGTCATAGCCTGTAGTGTCCTGCATACTGGGAACCTCTGCAAGGAGATGGACAAATGACAGAATATAGGCAGTGGGTTGGACTAGTCAGTGAATACAGGTGTCTGTATTCACCTGTGCCATGGGATTGGACAGGAGAAGAAATATTCAGATTGGGATAAAGTGTCCACAAAATTATTCCAAATCCTGGGGGGACCCAGTGTGGGAGGAGCTTGGCATCGTTCTCTGTCAACCTGCATAATCCACGGCCACATTCCTATAAGGCCAGAGGAGGGAGAGAAAGACCCTAGCCAACCAGATGACATGTTGAAACATGTCGAATCATGGATCTGCCATGACACAGCTGTGGGCAGCAACATCTCTGCAGCCTTTAGCTTTCAGGCCAGGAGGGGCAATATCCTAACTCTGGACATCTCTCACAGTGTGCCAAAAATTAATTGCCCTGCAGGGGATAGTGAGACAGTAAGATGGATTAACAAAGATGCCTACAGTTAGCACTATAAGCAATGGTGAAACACTGTCTGCTCTGTCATGTGAGACTTCAGGTAACTAATTCTGGGGCCCATTGTTAGGCTGCTGTTGCTTGAAGCCAAACAGACTTGATAAATGAACCAATCAGGAGTGGGTCCTATGGCTTTGAGGGTGGAATCATAGCATTAACATAGCTAACAGGAGACCTCAAAGCTCCTGAAGCCAATGAGGAATTTTGTTTGCTCAGAGCATCCATGCTGATAGACAGCTTGGACTGGATGAAACGTCAAAGCAATGCCCCTAGTTCTGAGGCGATAGACACAGTAGGGCAGGTTTTGGTACATTTGGTTTGATTCTCCTATCTGGCTGGAGGGAGAAGTATGGAGAGCAAGTGTTTGTAACAACACCCTGGTCAGTGTGTTGTGTGCCCTTGTCTACACCTGATCCACAGAGGATGAGACCGTTACAACCCCCAGCTACAGAGCCATGCCCACGTGGCAGAGACTCACACTTTTAGTTCTGGTGGTCCCTGATGCAATCCTCAGTGTCACCCAGGACAGAGGCCATCAGACAGGCAAGGGAAATACAGGAATTAAAAGCATCAGTCTCAAAAGGGGTAGGCACTGGTGTTGCTCACGTGCTTGATTCACACGTTTCAGACAGCACAGGAAGCAGGAAACCCATTCCAGGCACCGCGGGAAGATGGAGTAAACTAGCTGCTCTATGAAAGTTGCACAAATGGGCAGGCAAGGAGCAGAGGCTTTGAAACAATCAGCCCTGCTGGCATGAGAAACTGGGAATTTTTATTCAAAAGCAGGAACATCCTAGGAAAATCCAGAGGTCTAGTAATGTCACTTACGCTGCGGCAGATAGCAGGGCTGAGTGTTGCAGCTTCCCAGCACGGCTGGGGTCTGCGGCTGGCTGGCCTTGCACGTCTCAGGGGGGTAGAATTTGGAATCGCCATCAGCACAGATGACCTGGCGTTTTCGGATGCCTGAGTCACAGCTCTTCGAACACTTGGGCAGAAAGATGAGATGAGAGAGCAGGGAGACAGAATACAGTAACTCCACGAGCCTGGCATGCTGACCAGGAATATGGTTAGCTGCTGGCAAAACATGCCAAAGCATAGCCCATGGCAGCCTGCTGAATGACGGTGTGACCAACCCTGAACTGTTGAACATGGCTAGTAGCAATTTGTCTGTTACTGGGGTCCAACGGCCCTGGTAGGCAGAGTCCTAACGTCCCCCTTCTCTGGGGCCAAGTACCAAATTTCAATGGGGCTGACAATGGAGCAACCAGGTTTGATGGTTCTGGTAGCATAGCTGACTGGCATTACCACCCTTGCTAGGAAGTAAGGTGGGGGTGGCAGGGGGGGATTGGCAGCAGCCAGGAATGAAGGCAAGGAAGTCGGGGAAGGGGGATTAAGTATCTGTGTAAAACATCTGCCCCAGCAAGACACTTCTCGCCTTTAATCAGGTAGAGGACATCATTTTCAAAATTAGACACCCAAACCAAGCGCTCGTTCCCTCATTTTGTTGGAATCCTATGCATCAGACAGGACCAGATTAAGGCATAAGGGCTCACCTAGCTTTGTTAAGGCCCCATCTACATGGTGCCAGGAACTGTGCTTAGCATCTTTTAAGCCAGTTCAGGCTAACTCAGCTGGCACAGATGGGGCAAAATTGAGTTTGGGAAATTGTCTACTAGCTTTGGTGCTGATCCTGACCACAAGTCAGGCTAAACACAGTTTGGCCCTCTACCTAAAGGCAGGCGACCCTCTGTCTAAATTGGGTTACCTTGAACCCTTTCAGAAACATACTTCAATTCACCAAACATGATGACCAGCGAAATAGAGATGGAGCCTCTCTCATACTTCATCTGTCACATTCAAATGGGTAGCTGTGATGTTGATAATGGTGTCACAGAAATGGGAATAACGAAGCAACAGGAGTGGATTGTTTCAGTGTATCAGCTGCATGCTGCCACAGTCACTAAAACATTGATCCCCCCAGAGGGCTTGTTTTTGGAGAAGACACAAGCTGTGACACTGAGCCATGGAGCTGATAACGAAGGAGTATGTGCTCCTGGCCTCAACCAACATGCGGACCGATTCAGTCACAGCGCAATATGTGAGAAACACTGCTTGAGTACAAGTTAACTGATGAAGCGAGCACCATGAGGGTACGACACTCACCAGGCCCCAGACTCCAATGTGCCAACCAATTTTCTGGATGCAATTCTCCTTGCTGCAGGGCTGTCTGAGGAGTGGTTTAGGCTCTGTCAGGCAGGCAAAGTCTTGAGTCTGAGATCCCAACTCGGTTCTGCAGGTGACAGTCCGGGTCTGAACACCCTCTCCACAGCTGGCTGAGCACTGCAAGAAGGGGCCTGATTGTTACAGGGAATGCAGCCAGGTACCTCTGAGCTTCCTGGCTCTGCTCCCCAATTTCAAAATAGAAGTCAGCTTTGAAAACGTACAGTATGAACCACCATCGGAGAAGCAGCCTAATGCATATGTTACTGGGATGCCATCATTCTTCGGCTATATAGGAGTCAGAGTACCCTGATGGACAGGGCATTGGCCTGGGACTTGGGTTCTATTCCTGACTCTGCGACTAGCTTGCTAGGTGACTTGGGCAAGTCACTTCACCTCTCAGTTTCCCCATTGATGAGGATACTGACCCTCTTTGTAATGTGCTTTGAGATCTACTGATGCAAAGTGATACACACGAGCTACAGGTTATGATGTTAGTGCAGGGGTGGGCAAACTTTTTGGCCCAAGGGCCACATCTGGGAATAGAAATTGTATGGCGAGCCATGAATACTCACAAAATTGGGGTTGGGGTGTGGGAGAGGGTGCGGGCTCTGGTTGGGGGTGTGGGCTCCAGGGTGGGTCCAGAAATGAGGAATTCAGGGTGCAGGAGGGGGCTCCGGGCTGGAGTGGGAGGGATGTGGGGGGGGGGTGAGGGCTCTGGCAGGTGGTGAAGGCTCTGGGGTGGGGCTGGGGATGAGGAGTTTGGGGTGTAGGAGGGTGCTCTGGGCTGGGATTGAGGCATTTGGAGGGTGGGAGGGGGATCAGGACTGGGGCAGGGGGTTGGGGTGCAGGGGGAGGCTCAAGGGCTCAGGCTCTGGGCGGCGCTTACCTCAAGCGGCTCCCAGAAGCAGTGGTGTGTTCCTTCTCCGGCTCCTACGTGGAGGCACAGCCAGGCGGCCCTGCATGCTGCCCCGTCCGCAGGCATCACCCCTACAGCTCCCATTGGCCGTGGTTCCTGGCCAATGGGAGCTGCAGGGGCTGCACTTAGGGTGGGGGCAGTGTGCAGAAGGGAGCCCTCTGGCTGCCCCTACATGTAGGAGCCAGAGGGGAGCCATGTCGCTGCTTCTGGGAGCTGCATGGAGCGGCCCCCGACTCTGCTTCCCAGCTGGAGCGCCGGAGCGGGGTAAGCCCCAGACCCCACTCCCCAGCGGGAGCTCGAGGGCCGGATTAAAACAGCTGGTGGGCCGGATCCAGAAATCAGCATAAGGTAAGTATTTCAGAGCAGGGAAGAGAACATAGGTTCTTGCATTGTCCAGATCCCCGGCCCAAAGACCTTGTCGCACTCAAGTGATCCACATTCTGGCTCCTAATTGGTTTCTCCTGATGACAAAGGGAGAACAGGAACTCTCTGTTTTTTCACATGGTGGGGCTGTGTTGTGACCGCTATGCTAGAAATTACATTTTATATATATTTTTTAGTGTTTTTCAATGCGACATTCCTCTTTTAATTTCACTGTCATGATTCCTAGTATCCAAACCATTCTGGAATCTGTGGCAATCTCCATATTTATATATTTTTCCTGCATCTTTCAAGACAAATGTAGAGTCCTGAATCTGTTTCAGGAATTGCAATGCCATGATGTTATGCCACACTGTCATATTACATTGTTCAACATCTTCATTAATGATCTGGATGATGGGATGGATTGCACCCTCAGCAAGTTCATGGATGACACTAAGCTTGGGGGAGAAGTAGATACACTGGAGGATAGGGATAGGGTCCAGTGTGGCCTAGACAAATTGGAGGATTGGGCCAAAAGAAATCTGATGAGGTTCAACAAGGACAAGTGCAGAGTTCTGCACTTAGGATGGAAGAATCTCACGCACTGCTACAGGCTGGCTAAGTGGCAGTTCTGCAGAAAAGGACCTGGGGATTACAGCGGACAAGAAGCTGGATATGAGTCAACAGTGTGCCCTTGTTGCCAAGAAGGCTAAGCGGCATATTGGGCTGCATTAGTAGGAGCATTGCCAGCAGATTGAGGGATATATCAGAGAGATAAATACCACAGAGGGAGAAGAATTATTTAAGCTCAGTAGCAATGCGGACACAAGAACAAATGGATATAAACTGGCCATCAGGAAGTTTAGACTGGAAATTATATGAAGGTTTCTAACCATCAGAGGAGTGAAGTTCTGGAACAGCCTTCAAAGGGAAGCAGTGGGGGCAAAAGACACATCTGGCTTCAAGATTAAGCTTGATAAATTTATGGAGGAGATGATATGATGGGATAGCCTAATTTTGGCAACTAATTGATCTTCAACTATTAGCAGTAGATATGCCCAACGGCCTGTGATGAGATGTTAGATGGGGTGGGATCTGAGTTACTATAGAGAATTCTTTCCTGGGTGTCTGGCTGGTGAGTCTTGCCCACATGCTCAGGGTTTAGCTGATTGCCATATTTGGGGTCGGGAAGGAATTTCCCCCAGGGCAGACTGGCAGAGGCCCTGGGGATTTTTCACCTTCCTCTGCAGCATGGGGCACAGGTCACTTGCTGGAGGATTCTCTGCACCTTGAAGTCTTTAAATCACTATTTGAGGACTTCAATAGCTCAGACATAGGTCAGGGGTTTGTTACAGGAGTTGCTGGGTGAGATTCTGTGGCTTGCGTTGTGCAGGAGGTCAGACTAGATGATCATAATGGTCCCTTCTGACCTTAAAGTCTATGATTCTAAGTGATTATTCCCCTCTATTTGGCACTGGTGAGGCCACATCTGGAGTACTGCATCCAGTTTTGCCTCCCCCCACCCACCCCCACTACAGAAATGATGTGGACAAATTGGAGAGAGTCCTGCAGAGGGTAACGAAAATGATTAGGGGGCTGGGGCACATGACTTATGAGGAAAGGCAGAGGAACTTGGCTTATTTAGTCTGCAGAAGAGAAGAGTGAGGGGGGATTTGATAGCAGCCTTCAACTACCTGAAGGGGGGATTCCAAAGAGGATGGAGCTAGGCTGTTCTCAGTGGTGGCAGATGACAGAACAAGGAGCAATCGTCTCAAGTTGCAGCGGGAGAGGTCTAGGTTGGATATTAGGAAAAACTTTTTCACTAGGGGGGGTGGTGAAGCACTGGAATGGGTTACCTAGGGAGGTGGTGGAATCTCCATCCTTAGAGGTTTTCAAGGCCCGGCTTGACAAAGCCCTGGCTGGGATGATTTACCTGGGGTTGGTCCTGCTTTGAGCAGGAGGTTGGACTAGATGACCTCCTGAGGTCTCTTCCAACCTTAATCTTCTATGATTCTATGGTGCACCTTTTCAGGCAATGCAATGTTTCAACACAGCAATACAAATGTTGCCAGGCTGTACTGCTGGACTGAACGTAAATTCAGGAGACTAAATTTCAGCCCTGCACTGAAGATGGATTAGACAGGATTTAATAGGTGTCCTCCATCTCTCCTTTCTATGCTTCAAGGATTTCAAATGTCTTCCTCATTGGCAGGCTTGCATGTAAGTGGTTCAAAGAGTTCCCCCTTGTGGAGACACAAATACACCCAGGCACCAACAATCCAACTCGCAATATCGTGTATGGACTGAACTCTGCCCAGACATACAGTTTAGTGTAATGCCTTTGTAGATTAAGGACCAAGGCAGGATTTGGTCCTCCGTCTGCACAGAGTATGTTCTACAAGTCCCTTTCTCTGCCCAATCTGCACAGGATCTAAGTCTGTTGCAGCCCTAGGTGGAGAACCTGTCTCTTTAGCTCAAGCTGTAGCATTTCACACTTCTAGCTCTGAAGGTCCCCGGTGCAATCCCTGGTGTGCTAGCTCAGAGGGTGGTTGTCCGATATGTACATTGCATTCAAAGGGTAAACTCACCTCTGACCAGGGCCCTGCGCTCCACGTTGCACACTGTCGCATGTTGCAGGGCTGAGTGCTGCGGGGCTGCTCCGCAAAGGCCATGCACTTGGCATCGTCCACCACCCCCTGGGAGGCTTGTCCATTGTATGACATGCAGTAAACGGAACGCGTTTGGGTACCTCCCCCGCAGGTGGCTGAGCAGGCTCCCCACTCCCCGGTTTTCCAGCTGTAGGTAACAGAAAGCCGTCACAGAACCAATGAACAAAGAGGGCTAGCAAGGAAGACCCTGTACATAGAGCTTGCTGTATCACAGCTGGTGCCCAAAGGGCCAAGGTTAACTCTTAAATCCCCAGTTCAACCAGTTAGGGGAAAATCTCTTTTTGTGTTGTAACATCAGCAACAGAAAGAAAGAAAGACACAAAGGGCCACCACAGCATGACAGGACGTCACAGGGGCATATTTTTGTCTTTCACTCCAGAAAATTGGCAAAGGTGGCAATTTGCACTATACCTGCATGTTCAGGAGGCAGCCATGAAAGTAACGGATGACTACACAAGCTGACCATATGTTAAGTGAGTTTCACCATAACAGTCAGTGTGGAGCTGATCACCATTACATTACCAGAGGCAGAAACTCAAATGTAGCTGGAGTAAAGTTACAGGTGAGTTTAAACATGAACAATTACTGCATAGTGTAGGTGGGCAATGGGGCAGCCCTGTGGAACCAATCCCTGAGTGCAACCCACTTGGCTTTCTGACTGTGTGGGGACCCCTCAGGCCTGGTCTACTGTTAAAATTTAGACTGACCTAGTTATGCCACTCAGGGGTGTGAAAAATTCATACTGAGTGGTATAGTTAAGCTGACCTAACCCCCAGTGTACATGAGGCTAGGTCGCTGGAAGAATTCTTCCATTGACGTAGCTACCACCCCTCGGAGAGGTGGATTACCTACGGAAAAACCATGTCCATCGATGTAGGAAGTGTCTACAGCTGTGCCGCTATAGTGCCCGTAATGTAACCATGCCCTTAGAGCACCACTTTTATTTATTTCTAAAAGGAAGAGGGGGAAAAAAGGCATCTCTCCATCACACTAGAGTGCGATCCTTGAAAACATCTCATACAGGACTGCACAATAGAAGACAAGCAATGCAATCAGTCCGACCACCTAACAAACTCCAGCCACAAGCTACAGTATAGAGAAAAACCAAAACCCCATTCTGTCTCAAAGCCCATTCTTAGAATGTGGGTGGTGACCCCTTGTTGGTGGTCGGTGGACAGCTTCCTTGTCACAGGGTGCTGGCTTATGTCCTTATTTCCAACTGCTGACTTGCATTAAAAAATGCTAAAAATTCATTAGACATACTCTTTGTCATGTAAACAATTGCAGTAGTTGCCACCGAGTTGGGAGGGGAGGGCTCCTCACGATAATCCCACTGTTAGGATGAGGTCCACATTAGGAAAGTTTGAAAACCCTTGTCCTAGCCCTTTCCACCCATGCTCCAACCCTATGCCTGGGAACACAGATGGGCCTTGCAGCACACCTTGAAGGACATCAGATAGGGGTTATTTTTGACATAGGCACCAACTTCCCAATTTCGGGGCGGGGTCGACCCCAGTTCCATCCCAGGCCCTGCCCCCATTCCATCCCTTCCCCCAAGGCCCCACCCCTGCCCTACCTCTTCCTGCCCCCATTCTGTCCCCTCCCAAGGGCTCCCCATAGACAACTGGTGCCTCCCCATACTAGGAGGCATGATATAAAGGGGAGGTCACATGTCCCCCTGACCAACCGCTCCCCCACGCCCAGCCCTGGGCCACCATACTCTCCCCACTGCACGTTACCTGCAGGAAGGGGGCGCTCTGTCCTCCCGCTGCTCCTGCCCACCCCCCTATCCCCCGGCATGTCCTGCTGCTCTCCCTGGCAGGATGGAGCCGGGGCAGGGAGCAGAAGGGAGCCACTTCTAAAGTTGTCCCCTCCTGGTTGCTGCCCCGCAGCCCGACAGCTGCCTGAGAGAGCCTGGCTGGGGAGGTGACTTCCGCTCCCTGTCTGGGGAGGCAGCTTCTCCTCCCTGCCCAGGCTCAGCCACCGGGGACTGCAGCTGAGCAAGTTGGAAACATGCAGGAAGGGGGAGCTCCGGGTCACTCGTCCTTGGCACCCAAGCCCAGGCAGGGAGTGGAAGCTACCTCCCAGCCAGGCTCTCTCAGGCAGCCACCAGCTGGCCACGCTGCAGAGCAGTGTCCCAGCAGCCGGAAGGGGTTGGTCCCTTCCACTCCCCAGCATCTGGGGAAATCTTCCCTGATGTCACCCAGCCCCGCCCTCACCCCACCTCTTCCCGCCCTGCCTCTTCCTGCCCCATTCCACCCTCTCCCTTGCCTCTTCCTGCCTCCCGCTCCTCCTCCTCCTCCCCCACAGTGCCTCCTGCACACCACCAAACAGCTGATCGCAGCGGGCGGGAGGCGCTGGGGAGATGGGGAGGAGCTGATTGGAGAGGCCCCCCGGCAGCGCAGGTGCTAAGGGGGAGGAGGGGCCTGCCAGTGGGTGTTCAGCACCCACTATGTTTTTTCCATGGGTGCTCCAGCCCGAGAGCACCCACGGAGTCGGTGCCTATGATTTTGGACCACAGTGGTGTGTGGAGCCCAAAATCGGCAGTAGGGGGTGCTCATGGAGAACTTCCTGTCATCAGCTACCTCCCAGTTAATCAAGTAAGCTCCAGCTAAAACAGCTCCATTGATTAGTAAAGAGGGCAGATATAATTTCTGCCATCTCCTTCTACTTGTTCCCCCAGCCTGCCATTATCACCTCCATTTTAACCAGACTGAGCCCTCAGCCCATCCTCCTCATTAACTCCACTCAGAGTCCCATATACTTACTGAGTAAGAGAAGCGACACAATAGAATCCCGTACAAGAATGACTTCAAGGTCAATGAGCAATTTTCCAATATAACTCTGTGGGTCCTCTCAGCCAAAAAGGAACAGAGCCACTCAAGAGCAGCCCCATCAATTGCTACCTATGCCTGTAGGCCAGTCATAAACAACTCAAAGTCAACTGCAATTAAGGCAGTTGATAGATCTAATAATATTAGTGTGGACACCTGATCATTCATTATCCATCAAGTTGTGTTTCTGTACCGTACACAAGTATGCAACCAAACTGACAAGGGCCAAGAAGATCTGAGGCACCTAGAGACCATAAGAGCATCTTTTTGCAACCTTTTCAGTTATCTTGCCCAAAAGAGGGAATATTAAAATGGTTAAATAATTGCTCATATTGTTAATGTCAAGCAAAGGTTTCTTTTGTAAAGGGCATATGCAAGTGTCCTTCAAAGCAGATGGCAACTTGTGCTCTACAAAGGAGGCAATGACAATTTCCACCAACAATGGACCTAGTTCTTCCCCAATGACCTTTAGCAAACAGGAGGGACATGGGACTAAATCACAGACTGTGGTTAAAAATTCACCCAACACCTCCAGTACCTCAACGAGTGCCACAGGATGAAATCTGAGCAAAGACGACCTTGTGTTTGTTCCCCACCAGATATAATTCTGTGCTGCCACAAATGCAAATAACTCAGTCTAAATCTGCAAAATAACTAGAAATTCCCTCACAACAGGAATCAGCAGCAAGGCACAGACTGCCCAGGTTAATCAGGCTGCCAACCATTCAAAACAAATTCACTCATCAAGATTTTGCAGATGCTATAGTGGAGTTAAAAAAACAATTTTTCATTTCCCCATAAAGCCACAGAATAATATGCTTAATAAGCAGCAGGTTTGAAACAAACAAAAGAAAGTATTTCTTCATACGACACAGAGTCAACCTGTGGAACTGCTTGCCAGAGGATGTTGTGAAGGCCAAGACTTTAACAAGGTTCAAAAAAGAACTAGAGAAGTTCATGGAGTATAGGTCCATCAGTGGCTATTAGCCAGGATGGACAGGGATGGCGTCCCAAGTTTCTGTTTGCCAGAAGCTGGGAACGGGTGACAGGGGATGGATCACTTGAGTATTACCTGTTCTGTTCATTCCCTCTGGGGCACCTGGCGTTGGCCACTGTCGGAAGACAGGACACTGGGCTAGATGGACCTTTGGTCTGACCCAGCACGGCCGCTCTTGTGTTAAAAGATCTTTATGATAATTGGCCAAATTCACCCAGAGGCTTTTGCAACTGGTACTCAAGGCATCTTCTGCCTCACTTCTTTCATCACAGGCCATCTGTAAACCGAGGTAACCTGCGAGATTGAAGCCATGAAAGAAGATGCCTAAGGGCCCCCCTATTGACAGTAGAGGGCAACATGGGGGTAAGTCCCACTCAGCCATTAGTAGAGTGGTTTGTTGGGAGGACAATTATTCTCCTTTTTGCTTCCGGTGTTAGGGTGGAGAGCCATATCATTGCAGTAAACACTGCATCCAGGCACTTTTGTGCCAGCACTGGAGCACATGCTGTTGGGAGAAGAGTTTTGGAGCAAACTTGAGGTTGCAACAAAGGAAGTTTGGCATTCTAACTAGTTAGTAAAATAATGTGATTCACTGCAGTCCTACCGCATTTCTTTTTCTTTCTATGAGTTTATCATCTTGACAAATTGAGCAAAATCTTCAAAAGCAGCCGCCTTGCCCAAGGGAAATGGCAATGCTTATTTCAGGGTCAGAAACAGAAAGATACAAAGAACTGTCGGTCCCCTCCAATAGTCAAATCAGAAGAGCAAATCACCAGTAGGGCTCACCACTGTCTGAGCAAAGCTCCCCCTTTTCTAGTACCCAGGACCCTCCACCATCATTTGTGGGCAGTGAGAGTCAAAAGCAAAGCACCATCCTAAACCATCACCAAGGATGAAAACACCCAGTGGGGTTCACCAAGCAACTAGATTTTCTAGGTGGGAAGTGGACAGAGAATAGCTGAAGCTCTGCTTTCTATAATCTCTATCTCCTTCTTGTTACCTCTTCATTTGAGAGCTCCAGGCGCCGCTGTGGCTCCACATTCCCGGCAGATAGATGTAAGATATCCTTTATACACAGAACAAAGGTTTTAAAGGACTTTAAGCAATATATAGAATTCTAGAGCTACAGCCGATTGTGTAGGCAGAAATGTTTCCAGGTCTCCAGGTGCCCTCAAAACACAGGGGCTCCATCAGGCCTCACACTAATTCCACTGGATATACAGAGAGGTGACACCAGGGTGTCCCAGGGTGATAAAATGGTACATGCTGCGGATTCCCTTGTTGGAGCCATGTGGCAGCTAACTGTAAGTGCAATGGAAGGGGGAGCTTGACAGCTGCATAGGAGGAAGGATTGCAGGGCTCAGCCCTCTCAGAAAGGGCCAGGACCTGGGGAATGCAGCAAGTTAACTCCCTTTGCTCTTACATTTGCAGCTCCAAGTGAAGGGAAGAATGAACACTAAGTGAATCCTTCTCCTTCCCCAACTTTGGCTAGGATAATATCTCCAGCAACTCTACCTAGGCAAAGTGAGAGCCCCTGGTTTTGGACACAGACTCAGGCCATGTAGATCCATTCCTTATGGGCACAGAAATTCATTCCCACATCTTGGGTAAAACATTTCAAAAGTGCCTAAGGCTACATCTACACTACAGCCCGATTGATGCTCTGAGATCAATCCACCGGCAGTCGATTTAGTGGGTCTAGTGAAAACCTGCCAAATTGACAGCAGATCGCTCTCCAGTCTATCCTGTACTCTACCCACAATGAGAAGAGTACAATAAGTCAACAGGAGAGTTTCTCCCGTCGACCCCCGGCAGTGTAGACCTATGTTATTCACGTAGCTGGAGTTGCGTAGCATAGGTCAACTTACTACAGTCGTGTAGACATGGCCTTTAGTAGCCTATATCCCATTTTTTAAAGTGAGCAAGGCACTAAGTCCCGTTGACCACTGTTCTGTCAGTCACAGCTCAGGTATCACCTACCCCTGGGTGGTCTAGAAATGTCTGTTTCCACTGACGTGTGAAGTGTATGATTCTTTCATCAGCTCCAGACTGGGGTGGCAGTGGGGGAAGCAGAAGGCAATCAGCATTCTTTTTCCTGGGTCTCAAGATACTTCACAAGGGGCTTGAAGAATCCAGAGAGGTGGAAAGAGAAAGTCTCACCGTTTTGTCTGGGGACAGGCTTGAAGACCACATGTCCGGTTATTGGCTGGCTTTGGTTTGTCCCTGCACATATAGTCTGGATAGGCTTCATTGTCTATGGTGCAGAACATCAGGCGTGACTGGTAACCTAAAGGAGAAAAGAAAATAATATTCTGGTTAAAGTGGCCTATCCATAAAAGGGATTTAAATGCAATCATTTGGGGAATGGCACATTTCTGAGGTAGTCTGGGGCTCCCACAGCATCTGCATGCTGCAGAGAGAACTGGGCCAGGTGCAACTCCAGGATTCTCTATACAACCTGTTCCCACATAAATGGTCCAGTGGTTAGGGCAGCAGCCTAGGACTTGAGAGACCTACGTTCAATTCCCTGCTGCTCCATGGACTCTGTGTGTCTCAGCTCCCCAACTGTAAAATGTGGATCTTAGTATTACCCTACTCCAGGGGGGTGTTGGGATGATAAATACACAAATGATTGTGAGGTGCTCAAATACTCTGGTGAAAGAGGCTATAGAAGTACCTACCCTAGATAGCGGCTGGGCCCACAGGAAGGGTAAAAGAGATCGAAGAGGAATTTTCCTTTAGCTCAGATGGCTGCGCCCTGTGTTTTGGAAGTTGAAGAACCAGGATTCTAATCCTGGCTCCTGATGGGGTGTGCCCTGCCAGACATAATTTATCTAGCAATTGTGTCTGTTGTCTACAACACATGGACTTGTTACAACAGCAGAGCTGTGGATCAGCCCAACAAGGCTGGGTCTAAGCCAGGATGAAAGTGGATCAGCCCCTGGGAAAAGGGGCAACTCTGCATCCCTATTCCAGGATTATAACAGCAGGGGAGGTGATGTCACCTTCTACAGAGGCATCCTTGAACTCATTATGGGCAAGAGAGGTAAGTCACTACAATGGCCACCAGCAAAGAAGGCGAGAAAGGGCAAGCAGGAGCTCAGCATACCGTGAAACTGGTTTTCAATGAAAATCCATGAGTGTGTTGATGTGTACATGGTGTGACCACAGGGGAACTCTGGCAGCCTCTCTGCTGGATGGATGCTCCATAGGGAGGCACTAGAGGTGGCAGGCTCAGTCACGTGGGGGTGGGGCAGCAAGGAGATGGGCTTGGTGAGGACATGTTTTGGGTGACTTGAGGGGGCAGAATTATGTGTAAAGGGATGAAGCTAAACCAAAGAAAACGTAGGCTGCCTGTCAGGAAGAAATCCTTGACAGAGAGGAGATCTATCAGTCTGGAAAACTGTCCCCAAGGGAAGCAGTGGGAGCACCATCACTCAGGATATAGAAAACTAGACTGGACAAAGCATTAAAGAACAGAATGTAGGGAACAATCCTGCAGGGAACCCCGGCCTGGCCTCCGATTTACAGACCCTTCATAGCCTACTGCAGCTGCCAATGCTCCTTAATCTCTCTGTGGGACAGCCCTGGGGAAGGGGCTGCTGACAGTTCTTCAGATGGCAGCATGTAGCGTCTTTCCTTTTGGATACTGGCTCTGCATTGGGCACTGTCTGCTGCTGGTGAGGGTGCCCCCAACCCTCTTACCTCCGCCACACTCAGAGCTGCAATCACTCCAGGAGCCATAGCTCCAGCTGTAGCCCGAGCTGTGCCCTTGCAAGGGCAGGTAGTATTCATACTGCACCCCCTGGTTTGGCTCCTGGCTGATGAGCTGCAAAGGAAAGAGAATGAAGTAAGAGCCAGAAAACAAAACAGTATTTTCTCTCTCCTGGCCACTCTTCCTGCCCTTACCTCAGGATCCAAGCCAGGTAAACTCCCCCTACTGCTCCCTACACCCCTCTGTTCATTGGCCATTTATTTTCTGTGCTTTGTTTCCTCCCTAATACATCATAGACTCTAAGGCTTAGAGAACTCTTTCTAGTGAAGAGAGAATGTGCATCTTCCTCAGAGCTGGTTGATTGTGCTGCTCCTCTATTAGGCAGCAGGTAGTATCCTGGGCTGGCCTTACGCACAAGCATAATGAATAGCTACTTGGATGCCCCCATCCTATACCAGATCTTTAATTCATGAGTTTCCCCTATTATCTTCTTTAGCTTCTTGACCAGAAAGAAGAGACAGCTAGTCACTACCAGGTCTCCTCCTACTGCCTCTCTGGCAACAGGATCAGAGCAGACAGTGAGTGGTGTGAACATGGCTTGATAGTTCCCCTTCTTACAGGTGAAGGCCCCACAGATCAAAAGGCTGGCCCTGCTGATATCCCTGCTCACTGGGCTCAGTACAGGTGTATTGCCTCCCCTGAAATCTACTGACATTATCCTGTAGAAACCAAGCACATCATCTCTGCCAAATGTGACGTGCAGCCCAAGACCAACAACCACAGCATGACAATATTAAGAGAGGGTAAACACAGCTGCTTACCTCAGTGACTAAGGGCTCCGTGGTGGGACCCCTGGAGTGAAGCTGCTCAGGGGCCAGGTCCCCCTCCGAGCCTCTATCATAGTGCACAACTGTGCTAGCAATGTGCAGGTCTCGGCTGAAGTCAATCGTCCAGTGCCCATTCAGATAGTATTCCCCCTGCACATTCTTGATGGCTGGACAAAGCCACAGAGCACAAAAGAGGAGGTGGGGGATGAATGATTTGGAAGATCCACTATTCACATGACATGCTGACACCACTTCAACCAGATGCCATATGACATGGCTTTACGCTCTGCTCTAGATCTCACAGGACATCAGCAACTCACAAAGCCCTCGGTTCAGCTACTTGAAACCCAGCTTCCTCACACAAGCACCACAACCTTCCTGAAAGCTGTGAGTAACTGCTGGGATAACCAGTTAGACAGTGGCAACTGGTGCGTGCATCAAACATGGTAACTCATGGGAAATGAATGCCCTCTTGTGTTCAGTACTTTCTGCATTGGAGATAAACATCTGTGCTTCCCTTCGGTGTTTGCTTTCAACAAATGCCAAGTGAAATCAAGTCCCTGCAGGAAATCATTATCCTGTGACAACATTCGAGCCCTACTGATGCTCCCTGCTGTCTTGCTCAGGATGGTTCTAGACTATTCTCAGTGGTAGAAGAGGACAGGACAAGGAGTAATGGTCTCAAGTTGCAGTGGGGGAGGTTTAGGTTGGATATTAGGAAAAACTTTTTCACTAGGAGGGTGGTGAAACACTGGAATGCGTTGCCTAGGGAGGTGGTGGAATCTCCTTCCTTAGAAGTTTTTAAGGTCAGGCTTGACAAAGCCCTGGCTGGGATGATTTAATTGGGGATTGGTCCTGCTTTTGAGCAGGGGGTTGGACTAGATGACCTTCTGGGGTCCCTTCCAACCCTGATATTCTATGATTCTCTCTGCTTTTCTGCACATTGAGCCTTCTTCACTGCATGGTCCAACTCTTTGCCGCAGATTCCATTCCAGCATTGCTGTATTCTCCCTTCCCCACCTGATTATTGCATGTTCTGTTTGCAACATAAACACTTTTGCCTGCCAATGTGGCATAGAACATTTTGACACTGTAATGAAAACCCGGTCATGTTTGTATTGTACAAGAGCATGTCAGGAGTCCATCCATAGAGCATGGGGAAGATAAGGCCTAATGCACAGGGACCTGGACAGCCCAGAAGACGCCGGTGTGCTTGGAGCCCATCCCTAAAGTAGGGGTGGCAGGAGAAGTTTGGATTTGACTTTACCAAGCTTTGTGGCAAACAGACAAACCCAGACCCAAACTTTGCCATGTTTGTCAGACCCTTAGAAGTTCCAGGCGGAAGGTTTAAATAGGGCTTGGTCTTTTTATCCTCATGTATATAGAGTCACAGTAGTGGTGCTGGGCCAAGACCGAGTCCCAGGTCTGAGCACCCCTAGTTCTCTAGTGGTGTTCAATATCCAAACCTGGATTTAGAATTGAACTTTGTGCCCAGCTCCTCCCTTTGCAGAGGGCAGGAGCAAGCTTCCGCCCCATATGCCCCTGAACTTCAGTGTGTTTGAAAGTCAGAATAGAATTTTGTGGCTTGAGTCCATCTCTATGGTGAAGTAATAAACTCATTACAAAGTCAGTCTTACCCAGGAAGTTCCTGCTGGGCATAACTTCCTTAATGCGGAGGCTTGTGGCTCCCATGGGAATGATGAAGATTTGATTGTAACCTGAAGAAAATTAAGGAAGTTGGTCAAAGGTACTGACAGACAGTGATCGAGGATGTGAGATGGTCGCCCATGTGCACAGGAGCTGTGCCCAGCTGCGCTAGTGACTGCATGGATGAGTTATGAGATAACCGGAAAGAACTCAATCCAGCTGTTGCAGCTTCATTGATTTTAGGATGGCTGCACCCAGATTTGTTTCACCCATGGAGTAGTCCACCCACTTCATGGCTAAAATACATCTGAGAGCAGCATTATCAGAGCATTGCACCCTGAAAACAATACAGTCAGGGGCCTGTTTGGGCTTCCATTATAAACCCTGATTTTCAGAGTTTCCTATCTCGGAGATTTCAAAATGCATCAGATTGAAACTCAGTAGACAAAGATTCATCCCAGTTCAATCATTAGGCTGAAGTAGTTCAGAGCCAGCCAATGTGGGAGAACCAGGTTCCAAGTCCTGGTCCCAGTCTCCCACTCCTTTTGGAGGTTCTGCAGACCTTGGGTAACCAGCTCCATTGCAAAGAGCACTTCCAGCAGGCATGCTCTGAGGGACAGTTCAATGGAGCCTGTCACCTCTAGAAGAGTTGTGGCATCCACAAGAGACTAGGAGCTGGGGAAGATACAGGAGGAGTGGAAGAACCTTAGGGCTGCAGTGGGAACTAGGAGGGGACCCCCAGATAAAGGTGGTCAGTATGTTTTCTAGCTCTAGCCCGCTGTATGGGTGGGCTTGGGTGAGTGTTCTGGTCTAATGGCTCCAGTGAGCAGAGAGAGCAGATAGCTCCATGCAAAGGGTCAGAATGAGGCTAAGCTTCACTCTCTCCTTCTCCCCTGTTCACCCTTCCAGAAAATCCAGACTACTGTACCTTTGGGGAGGTTGAGCACATCAAAAGTGCCCTTCACTTCGTAACAGGCCCTGCCATCCCCTCCACACTGCAGGCACTTGTCTTCCTTCTTGGCAGAATTGAGCATGTTGTCACAGCCGACAGCCTGTCAGAAAACAATGGCATTAATGTGCTTAAATCAAAACCAGGGCGTGGGGTGGGATGAAGAAAGAAAAGGCCAGGGCCTAGACTGATCACTAGGAGGAGGATAAACTAGATAGCTCTGGGGTGCAGTAGAAAGGGGGATGATCAGGAGCTGGTGATTAATTCGCCCTAAGAGTCCACAGAAATGTATGCACATGCTCCCCACACTTCCTTCAGTTCCCCAGAAATCAAATGCATTTGGTGTGTTGTCAGATAACAAGGGCATTGTTTGGGAAGGGCTGGATAGGACAAAGGGAAATGCTAAGAAGACTGAATTACACCCTCTCTCTCTCTCTCTCTCTCTCTCATAGAAAAGGGATGAGGTGATAGGATGACTTACTTGGCAGACTCCCTCGACACAGACATCCCGTTTGCCTGGCTCACAGGGCGTCCCATCAGCCACTGCTTCCTTGTGCCTGTAGTAGAAGTTCTCTCCCTTGGGAATACAGTTTAACTCGCATTTATTGGGAGCTGGAAGGGAAGAAAACAGCAGGTGTCATATGACATAGTTAGTCCCTTACGAACACACCATGAGCCTGAACCTGAAATGTGGGATTAGGCCCTGAGGAGTGGATTGCTATTAACATTAATGATTGGTTCCTGCAGAATACATTCCCATGTAGTATGAGGCTTTTCAGAGAGACAGAACAAATGTTAACACAGAAGAAAACCAGTAACATATCAACAAGCAAAGAGTGAAATTCTTCAGGTAAGCTTAATAAAACCCAATAACTAAGAGGTGGCTGGGTGAATATGGAAGACAGCAGAGTCCAGTGGTAAGAACAGAGAGCTAGGCCTTCTGATTTCTATTCCTGCCTCTAGACCTGGTTCTCTGCGTGTCCTTGATCAAATCACATGCAGCAAGATTTTTGGCAGCATTCACTAACGTGAAGAGCTTTGATTTGGGGGGGTCCAATCTAAGATATCTTTTGGCTGATTATCAAAGGTGTTGAATAGCTGCTGGAGCTATAGATTTCTGTGCCTCAAAGGCAGCCCTTGCCAGAGATCTTGTGCAATTGTAACCCACACACCTTCTGGGTGTGGTGTTCTGTCCCATCTAGTGGCACCGAGACCACTGAGAGAGACAGATTAATGAGTTTGCTCTACAGCCTTAGCTAACAGGCAGTTGGCTTTTGGCTCATGCTGTAGAGGCTCATGCATTAAGTTTCAAAGGTCCCCAGTTTAATCCCGCCTGCCGACGACTGGGGTCTGTCGGCGTTACACAATTGTTCTGAAAGATGATCCATTCCAACAGACCCCTCTAGCTGTTCCAGAAGAGGACAGACACCTATGCATGTAGGAATCTTTGCAGACAGACACCCCCTACTTTCAGGCAAAGCCAAATACCCCCACATCAAATAAGTTTAACACCTTGTATCTGTTACCTCCATAATAAGGCAGCCACTTGTATCTCTTTCCTTGGAATTCTGTCCCATCAAACTCAGCACACTGCTCTGCTCGGAAGTCCCTGGAGCCCTCAGGGCAGCTCTATGGGGGAAGAGAGAACCCAGGTACACAGAGTTTGCACAGGGAGGAGGGAGGTAAAGGAAAGGATCTCACTGGGGTGTGTTCCTCACAGCTTCCCCACAGACTGGCAATGACAAAGTCACTCCTGAATGCAGCTCTGACACTTGACAGCGCATTACGCTGTCTCCAGGTCAGGCCAGCTTCATTCTTATCTTAAAGCAGGTGATTAGGGAACTGCTTCTTCCCAGACAGAAGGTCTTTGGGTGGCTACCAAGCTATAACCATGAACATCAACAGTATGAGTGCTCCCTGATTCCTTTCCATGGCATTGTCCATAATAAACCAGACCCATCTCAGTCACAGGATCAGACCCAGAGCCCTAAACATTTTCTCATATTGTCTTCCTGCTCTCTCTGCTCCCCATAGTCTCTCAAATGCAACCTTGATGCTCCGTATGTGATGGGAATCTTTGAATAGGTTGTGGATAATAGAAAGAATTCTCAGTGTACTGAGCTGACACTGGGGTTTTCAGAAAACTGAGGGTGAGATAACTGTAACTATACTAATCTCTGCATGCTGCAATCACCAGACAGAGTTGGTATGTGCCCAGAATCTATTGCACAAGGGCACGAATTCTAGCCTGGGGCCTAGTCACCTGTGCGCATCCCCAAGCAAACAGTGTCCTTCAACAATACTGGCATTGGTGCTCCAGGGGAGGAGAAGAATCCCACTGGCACTGAGTGGGCTCAGCACATGGCTTCTGAAGAAAATTAAGTTCCTCCAGGAGAGAAAGCATCAGGAAGGAGAGAATGTACTGGGCACTGTACCTGAATATTGCACAAGCGATAGTTTCGAGTTGGTCCAATACAGTTAGACCCACCATCTGTCCTGAAAGACAGAGAAACAACATGAAGTAGTTCTGAAGAGATTGTAAATATCATCCCCATTGCTATTTATTAATAATCTCCCAGGTAACACTGTGAATTTATCAGCACCTTGCACACAGCATGCAGCCCTAAGATACATTCCCTGTCCCAAAGAGCTAACAACCTAATATATCCTATTTCTTTCCTACAAAACTGAACCTGGCATCTTTCAGCGCATTCTGTTGCTGTAATCTTGTTATAGATACAGGTAGTGTATACACTATTTATTGACACAGGGTGGTTTTTATATTTTCTGGGGGGCAAAATTTTCCCCCCACCAATTAGTGGAGACAGTTTCTTTTATTCTTTGTCAGGCTTTTTATTAACACACAGCTCGAAGTCTCTAACAGCACCTGTGTGATACAGCATGTCTACCTGGGGGTGAGTAGGAAGAGTGGGTGGGGTGACTTATGAAGTCAGTGTGTGTGCACACTTCAAACTACCCTGCCATTTACATTCCTGCTGTTATGGGACTCATTAGCTGGAAGAACAGAATGGCCAAAGGGAAGGGAGGTAACTATCTTCCCTTATTCTATACCTGACTCTTCAAAAGGGGAGGGAGAGGGATACAGCTCAATGCCTAACAAGTTCATATCCAGGGAGAAATTGGATTTGAAAAAGCCGTCTGTTGCACCCAGAGGCAGATTAGGGGTTTGTGGGGCCCTGGGACAGAGCAAGTGGGGAACTCTCTCCACCCCCCACCCTGCAGTTCCCCAACCCCACTCCCCAGCGCTCCTGCCAGAGAAATGGGGTCGCGGTGCAGGGGCTTGTCCAGCCCCGTTCCCCTCCCCGCTCCACCTGGCACTCCTGCCGGGGAGCAGGGTCCAGGCATGGGGGCTTCCCCTGGTCCCCGGCAGGAGTGCCAGGCAAGCAGAGCAGGGCAAGCCCCTGTACCCCACTGGCAGGCAGGTGAAGCGGGTCGGGACGTGGGGATGCCCATTTTTCCGGGGGGCCTCCAATTGGCGGGGGACCCTGTGCACGGCTCATTGGCCCAGTGGCTAATCCACCACTGGTTGTACCCCTCCTGCTTCTCTCTCTGTCCATCATCTCAGCACTCATGACACAGCAAGGCGGGTCTCCAGGAATGCTGAGTCAGCACAGAGACAGACAGGCCAGATCATAAGCAAAGGGAAGAGGCATGCTTGGACATTTTTTTTTTTTTTAAATATTGCAGAATAATCTGAACTCTTATAAAAAGCCTATTTAAAAAGGAGATTGAGGAGCCAAAGGGAGCAGAAGGGAGGCTGCCTACTTCAGCTTGTGTTCTTTTTGGCTATGTCTACAGAAGGATTTTTAGACCTATCATTATCAATGGGAGCAACTCTACCTGCTCAGGGAGGTTCAGTCATTATTACCATCTACGCCTGCTCAGAGGTGAGATGACACCATGTTAACAATGCCTGAACAATGGCCACCTTATGGCTTCTGCTGGTAGAGCAGCACCTTTTGGGACTCACGGGTCTAAAACAGAGGCACTGGCCAGAAAATAGAAATCCCCTCCTGTGAAAAATGTCACATTTTTTGAGAAAAAATTGTCCCAACATCAAAAATGCAAAATTCTTCACGGGAAGGGATTTCCAGAACAATTCCATTTGGGGAGAGCCGAAGGATTTCATCTAAGAGCAGCTGACTGAGGCTGCCAGAGGCCAAGCGCCCCTGTTCTCCAACTTCTTGGCTCTTAGCCTCCCCACCTCCTCTCTCTGGCAGCCAGGCAGCGGGGAGAAGAGAACCAGGGGGGCTCATCTTCCCTATCAGAGAGACAGTCAGGTATGCGGGGTGGCAGGAAGGCTGAGCACTAGGGAGGTGGAACGCCTGGGCACTCAGCCGCCAACAGCCTGTCTGGAAGGCTCTTGTCAATTTTACTTTCTCCCTGAAGCAGAAAATGAAATTGACAAGAGCCTCTCTGGCAGAGAGTTTGTTTCAATTTTCCTGATGGACAATCAGAATTTTTCTAGCAATCCCTTCCGGGTGAGGGAGAGTTTTTGACTTTTTGTCCCAATTTGGGATGAATTATTTTTCGAAAACGTGAATTTTTTTTTGCAGGAAGCGATTATCCTTTTCTCGCCAGATCAGTTTCACACCCATGATTCCCATTAGGTGCTGCCTCACCAAAGGAAGCTGTCATGTGGACATATCTTAGGCACTGTTAACATCGTGTCATCAAAAATCATTCCAATGGAAAATTTCCCACCAGCTCTTGTCTGAAAAATCTTAGCATAGAAATGGCTTTCAGCCCTCAGGAGAATGATAGGCACAGTGCTGTGCACATTTCCCTCACAGGGCTGCCAGAGTACCATAATCCTGACCAGAATGACATCCTTTTGCCATATCAAACTTGTGCCCCAAACACAACTTTTCTTGTCCAGTTAACCTCAAACTTTCCAACGATGCCATTCTCCTCTAGCATGGGCATTTCAGACTGAAGAGAGCCCTGTTCAGAAAGTTAGAGGAAAATCCCCATCAGGTTTATCATGAAAACTATGTGAAAAGCTTCCTATATAATGGAGTTTTTACTGTGACTCCATTATATATTAGAGTTGGACCCAAACTGTAACCTCAGATAAGAACCCCTGCCCCCAATCCGCCTTGAACGTGGGGCAGTTTGGATTTGTTCCCCTGGATCTGAACCCACCACCATAATTTTAGCTGTGGCTAGGGCTGAAAACTGGAAAAGGCCTATTTTCTGGATCCAGTGGGAACAGCTGGTTTCTCAAGATTTAAGATATTTGGGCTGAAATTTTGACAGAAAAGCAGATGCAATTTTGGCATCACCAAAACCAAATGTTAGCCTTGTTCAGCTTTGAAGCCACACTTCAAACCCTAATAAAAGAAACCTAAGGTCAGCTCCTAGGCTGATGTAAATTAGTGAAGCTCTATTTAGGTTAATGGAGCTATGATGATTTACACTTGCTGAGGATCTGGCCCCATTCTGGATCCAAACTCTGCCTCTCAAATTCTTCTTATTTATATACACTATATTCCACTTCATCTAGATGAACTCTTTTGGGGGAGAGCTGCTTATTAGAGATGCCTTCCAGAAAACAGATTTAGCCTTATTTCCATACAGGGAATAAGAGAGATCAAACTTTCTTTGGTAGGCGATTGACAGCTCATTTCACCAAGAGACATTAGAAAGCTACCCTGAGCTACCTGGTGATGCCTCTTATGGGAGGAGAAAGAGTGCAGTAATATAAAAAGAAGAAAGCTCTCACCTTTGTGAGTAGCAGCGCCGTTGCCGAAAGCTGATGCCCCCGCCACAGCTCCGACTGCACTCGCTCCATTCTCCCCAGCCTCCCCAGAAATCAATCTGCCGCTTCACCTTGCGGGCCTGTGAAAACCAAACATTTAAGCGAACATGGTGAGACAGAACAAAAACAGCAAAATTGAACTAACTACAGCATGCTATACCAAGCAAAGGTGTTACCATTCCCTCTCCCTAGCTAATGGGTAAGGAGATAGAGGAAAAGGGACAAGACCCAGGAACAAAAAGCCTTAAGTACTAGAAGAAGCATCTAGTGCCCCACCCACACACGGGATCTCAAGCCCGAACATCTAAACTGCCATTTTATGGCCCTGCAGACCAAGTCCTGCGATCTTGAGCCAGCTGATCTGGGCCCGCCATGGCTGTGCCACAAGTCTTTTATTGCAGCATAGACATACAGGCCACCTCTGTTCACCTTCAATCCATTCGGCTGCCTCCTAGAAAGGATCCTAGGTCCTTCGGATGTTACCTCTCTTTCTCAACACTCTAGACCAGCGGTTCTCAAACTGTGGGTCGGGACCCCAAAGTGAGTCACGACCCTGTTTTAATGGGGTTGCCAGGGCTGGCGTTAGACTTGCTGGGGCCTGGGGCTGAAGCCAAAAGTCTGAGCCCCACTGCTCAGAGCTGGAGCCGAAACCTGAGGGCTTCAGCCCTGGGTGGTGGGGCTCAGGTTACAGCCCTCACCCGCCCAGGGCAGATGCCCTCAAGCTTTGGTTTCGCCCTCCCAACCCAGGGGGCAGGGCTCAGGCTTCAACTTTGGCCCCCCGGCCTGGGGTAGAGGAGTTTGGTCTTCAGTCCCCATTCCCAGGGTCGTATAGTAATTTTTGTTGTCAGAAGGGGGTCGTGGTGCAATGAAATTTGAGAAACCCTGCTTTAGACACAAAGCACTACTTCCCAGATTAGACAAAAAGATATGCTGACATAGGCATCACCATCCCAGACAGATCAATGGTGCCATCTACTCCTTTATCCTGTCTCAAGGCCCGATTCTTAAGAGAAAGGCATAAAACACCCACAATGCAGCTGTCTGCAATAAGATTCCAGGGAGAGACATTTTTTCCTGACTATCCTTGCTGTGCGCATCAGCACTGATAGCCCTAATCATTTTTGTATTGTAGATGGTATAACTGAGGTATGGTGTCAAGGGAACCCACAGAGGTACTTTAGACTAAGATAAGATATTGGTATTAAGCACAATGCTACCAGTAAGAGAACATTGCCCCAGAAGGGTATAAAATAATGTAGCTGGGGGAAACCTGGCTCATCACAGTCAGCATGATCTGTACAGAGAAGGATGTGGAACTCGGAGAGGAGGGAAATATTCTGAGAAGGAATAATGATTGCAGGTATGCAAGGAGATTACTTTCTATGAGATTAATTGGAAGGAAGAAAGGGGGAAAACAGTGCACCCCATGGAGAGATGGGAGTCCTGGAGCAATAATACATTCTGGATTTCGAATGGTAATTGAAAATAAGGTTTGTAACTAGGGTTGTGTGTCTGTGTCGATAGGGCTCTGTTTGAAAATCCTGTGGTTGAGAGGGGCTAAGCGTGCTGCTTGGCCAGTGAACCAATGTTGCTACCGAGAGGACGATGGAGCTGAGACAGGTATAAAAGGTTGCAACAGGAGTCAGGAGCTGTCTTTACAACCCCTCCATTTCTTTTGCCTTTTAATGTTATAATTCTATCCAAAAAGCAACTGAGTTTATTTGGCAGGATTTATGAATCCAGGATGCCTTCTGCTAATGGTTACATCACTCTCAAGGGCCCAGAGCCTGGACTGCATCCAAGCTATATTGGGTACAGCTCAGGAAAGGAGGGGTGAAAAGGTGACGGTGTCTTTGGGAATATATCCAGAGCTTCCCTAAACATTTCTTGGTACTTTAAATATGAACACATATAATAGTCAAATCTTAGACTATTTACAGCCTTGCAGAAAAGAGCAGCAAAAGGCTATTAACCCCCTGTGTGTTAACTGCCACTGCAACACCTGTGCAATGAAGGCATGTGTGTTCTTGATAAAGCTGGCATTCCCCTGCACCCAGACATCTTCTTCCAGTCACACTCTGGGAATGGTCTCCTGCTGAAGAACAAGCTATTGCAGGCTGGCATCTCAGCATGATGACATCACTCATTGTGATTTTATGTTGTAACAGAATAGCTGTTGGGTTGGGTCGGATCAGGCTGATCCTAAGACCGTTGTTTCAGATCTCCAGTACAACTGTTGACCCAGCCATAGCTTGACCTGGCCCTTGTAAACTATCAAATTAGTCCTTACCCAGAAAACTGGGTGTGTAAATTCCCCCTTGTCTCCTGGAGATGGCTTTTTTATTTTCTACCTATATTTCCCTGCTCGTATACGAGTCCTTGGTGTAACACCCATAGCTGTCTCTCCTCCTCTTTCCCTCCTGTACAGAATGTTTCTCCCTTTGCTGATACAACTGTCACAGGAATCATCCCACTATATTCCTGTAACTGTTACCAAATCACACTCATGATTGTCTTGCTGCAGCATCCCCTTGAGTTCTTCCTACCTATTTCCTGTGATGCCCTAGCATTTGTAAGGATGCACTTGAAGAAGTCGTTCCTTCTCCTTGCACTTTGCTGTCCTGTTTGCATCATACAAGCTATTTACAACCCTCTTCAACCTCTTCCACTACAAGTCTACAATCCGAATCCCTTGGTGCTGACCATCTCTCTCTTCCCAGCTACAGCATGCCTGACTCAGTGAAACTGCTCTCTCTGCATTACAGGCACTTCCATGCACTTTTCCCCTTCTAGTCAATATCTCCCTGGCCAGACCACCCATTGCTGGTGCATAGGGTCCAAAGCTGATCTCTTATTCATCAGTCTGTCTCACTCATTCATGCATTTCCCCTCGGTCAGAAATAACCTGCTGGATGTCTGTCTCTCCTTCCCACCTCGCCATTTTAGGAATGGTCCCATCTGTGGAGTTTAGGGCCTCTCAATCTTTTAAATGATCCTCCAGACCCCTAATCCTGTCCTCTGAACTGGTATCAGTCTGTATACTCCTTCTCTCTCCTCCTACCTCCTCTGCCATATACACGGATGAATGAAACATGCTACAGTTCTGTTGCTCTGCAGTGTTTCTCCTCTCTACCAGCTGGCTGATTCAGAAGCAGCAGTAATTCACTCTGGAAACAAAGGAGCTTTCAGTCAGCAGAAAGAGGAAGAAAACATCTAGATCAAATCCTGACGCAAGGCAGCTGAGAATCAGATAACTGGGACGGGGGTAGAAAGGCAGCAGCTGCCCTCAAGCCCTCCCTTAGCACATGGCCCTGTGCGATAAATATTCAGGCTTTTCTGCTATAAGTGTATTATTGTTTTCTTCTCTGTACACAAATGGACATCCCCAGGGGCCCTTTACATTAAGGTTTATGGGCCTGCAGAGCCCAGGAGCAACCACCGACTCAACACTACTTGGTTTAGCCACAGCGCAAAAGGGATATCTCAGCAAAAGAGCCCTTGCTGAGCAGTACAGCGACAGGGGAGTTTCCCATTCTGAGCTCACTGTTCTCATATATTCAAAACTATACACTGGGCTTGTTTTGTGTGCATGTGTACAGACTTGCGTAAATATAGAGATATTTTATAGGTCTGTGTATTTATGACAAATACGAAATCTAATATTATAGGATCCTTATAATGAGCTGTTTCTAGATGCCATTATCCAGTTTTTGTCCCAACAGCCTTCCTTTGCTCTGCTCAGCCTCTGGTATGCTTTCATCTATTGTCAGCCACGATGACTAAACCCCTGTCCCTCCTGGACCCTCGAGCAGAATCCACAAAGTTCATTATTAGTGTACCACCCAGCTCCATTTTCCTGCCTTCAGCAACACACATCCACAGAGTTCTCTAATTTGCAATGGGTGTGCCTAGGAGAGCATGTTTTAACATGCCAGAGAAAGCAATACAGGGTACAGAACTGCCCTGTCTGATACATAAAGGTATCAGAAATACAAGCCCTGGTTAGCTCTCCTTGTTGGGCAGCTGTCCATTGGGTTAAAGCAGTAGAATGACCTATGCCCCCTTGCCAACTGTCTCCTCTGCTTGGACGTCTTGTACTCCAAGGACATGGAGGATTTTAAAGAGTCAGATTACTCAGGAGAATGGGATATTGGGGTGACATGCTCTCCGTGGTCTGTGGCAGAGTAAATGGGCTGCTGTGCTCCAGAGCCAGCACTAGGCATAAGCAGACTAAGCAATTGCTTTAGAGCCCTGAGCAGCTCAAGGGGCCACCTATTAGATTTTTATTATGTTTTAGTGGGGGGGAGGGGAGGCAAAATATTCCTGTTTATGGCCCCTAATGGGCTAGCACCCCCACTGCTGTGCTCTGAACCAAGTGGATCTTTTAAAGGTCATTTCTAAGTTTAGTGTAACATTTGTAACTCCTAGGTTAGGGTGTTGCTGGCCTGATTTGTGTCATCTTCTGCTTATAAAGACAACTGTGTCTAGAGTAACCAGTTAGCAGTGTAAAAGGGATGCCTCTAGCTCGCGTGAGGATTGGTACTCACCCTGCCTCTGAGAGCAATTCCAATACACACAGTGCTCCAAGGAGCCCATGAACCAATCAGGATACAAACAGAACTTATAGTACAAGGTACTGTGGGGAGGAGGTATGAAACCCAACGGGGAGGGGTAGAGAATGTTGGCAGTACCTGTGTGGTGTTGACCTTTCGGAGATTTCTCAGCTGCTCAGGGAGACGAGAGACAGATAAGTAGATAAGTAAAGAGAGATTTACTTACTCTGTGTATTTCAGACAGATAAGGTGGGTGAGGTAATATCTTTTATTGGACCAACTCCTGCTGGTAGGAGAGGAAAGCTTTCGAGCCACACACAGAACTCTTCTCTGAAAACTTCACAGAAAGCTTGTCTCTCTCACCAACAGAAATTGGTTCAGTAAAAGAGATTACCTCACCAACCTTGTCTCTCTAATGTCCTGGGAGTGACATGGCTACAACTACACTACGGATTGCAAACAGAGACAGCACTGGCAGGTATCAGGCATAAAATTCCTGTTGGAGACACAATGATTTTATAATTATA